CTGGTGGCACCATACACCCATAAAATCATTTCTTATATGTTCTCATATGCATTATCTCTGACTTATCTTTCAGACATACAATTTTTTGTCAACTTCTGTTGTTCCCTACTATGTACCATAATTTTTGTCTTTCTTTATTTTCTCTACTCTCTCTATGCAGTTCACTGTGACTTTTAGACTCTGAGAGACATCTGATTGCATCATGTCACTCTGGATGGCCAAATGCTTTTAGGTAGAATTATCTCTCTATTCAGGTCAGCTCATTACTGTTGGTTTCTCATGTCTGGCCTACCGAAAACTAGAATATTGATTTCTGGGACTATCAAATGTGTCCAGGAATTCAAGGTAATTTGAAATAAATCGTACACTTAAACCGAATCATCCATAAAATTAGTGTCTAACAACTCAACAGAGGGTATTAAAAATTCTGTTAAATTTGCACATGGCGCTCTCACTATTCGCAGATGATATGATACTCTACTTAGAGAACCCAATAACCTTCACCAAAAAACTCCTAGAAACAATAGACTCGTATAGTAAAGTTGCAGGTTATAAAATCAATACCCAAAAGTCCATGGCTTTCCTATACGCAGTGAGAGAGAAGAAAGCAACATGAAAAAAACAATCCCATTCACAATTGTGCCCCAGAAAATCAAGTACCTAGGAATCAGCTTAACTAAGGAAGTAAAGGACCTGTACAAAGAAAACTACAAAACGCTACTTCAGGAAATAAAAGAGGACATGAGGAAATGGAAAGATATCCCCTGCTCATGGGTCGGGAGACTTAACATTGTCAAAATGGCAATACTACCGAAAGCATTGTATAAATTCAATGCAATCCCTATAAGGATACCCATGACATTCTTCAAAGAAATGGAGCAAACACTCCTGAAATTTATATGGAACAATAAGCCCCCGTGAATAGCTAAAGCAATTCTTGGGAAAAAGAAAATGGGAGGAATCAACCTCCCTAACTTCAAACTGTACTACAAAGCAGTAATAATTAAAACAGCATGGTACTGGAACAAAGGCAGAACTGCAGACCAATGGAACAGGGTTGAATACACTGACATCTCCCCTCAATCATATGATCATCTAATCTTTGATAAAGGTGCAAGTAATGTGAAGTGGAGTAAGGAAAGCCTCTTTAATAAATTGTGTTGGCATCACTGGACGGCTACATGCAAAAAAATAGGCTCAGAACTCTGCCTAACACCATGTACAAAAGTAAGATCAAAATGGACTAAAGACCTCAACATCAGACCAGAAACCATAAGGTACATTGAAGACAAAGTTGGCAAAACCCTCCATGACATTGAGGCTAATGGTATCTTCAAAGATGCCACGCCACTGGCCAAGCAAGTGAAAACAGAGATAGATAAATGGGACTATCTTAAACTAAGAAGCTTCTGCACCTCCAAAGAAACAGTGACCAAAATACAAAGACAGTCTACAGAATGGGAAAGGATATTCGCCAAATACACATCTGACAAGGGGTTGATATCCAGGATATACAAAATACTGGTTAAACTCCACAAGAAGAAAACATCCAACCCCATCCAAAAATGGGGCAATGAAATGAACAGAAACTTTCTCAAAGAAGAAATCCGAATGGCAAAAAAGCACATGAGAAAATGCTCTACATCATTAATCATCAGGGAGATGCAGATCAAAACCACAATGAGATACCATCTCACACCTCAGAGACTGGCCCACATTCAAAAGAACAAAAGCAACCGATGCTGGCGTGGATGTGGCGAGAAAGGGACCCTCCTTCACTGTTGGTGGGAATGTCCACTGGTTCAGCCCTTCTGGAAAACAGTATGGACGATTCTCAAAAAATTAGAAATTGAGCTCCCATTTGACCCAGCAATACCACTCCTGGGAATATATCCCAGAGAGGCAAAAATGTATAGTCGAAGTGACATCTGCACTTGTTTGTTCATTGCAGCACTCTTTACAATAGCCAGAAACTGGAAGAAACCTGAATGCCCAAGAACAGATGACTGGTTAAAGAAACTTTGGTACATCTACACAATGGAGTACTATGTAGCTCTTAGAAAAGATGAAGTCATGAAATTTACATACAAGTGGTACAATATGGAAAGTATCATGCTAAGCAAAATGAGTCAGAAAGAGAGGGATAGACATAGAAAGATTGCATTCATCTGGGGGATATAAAGTAACAAAATATGAGATTAATACCCAAGAATAGCTGAGATCAGCACCAGGAGGATTACTCCATAACTTAGAGGCCAGCCGGGTATCCTAGAGGAAAGGGCAGTTCAGATAGAGAAGGGAGCACCAAATAAAGGGTGTTTGGAGGATCCTCCCAGGAGGGGAGATGCATGTCGAAAGTAGACTATGGACTGAACATGTTTGCCACTCAATTCCTCTTTTGCAGACCACAACACCCAAAAGGAGAGAGAGATCACAGGGGATTGCCCTGCCACAGGGGCAGGGGGGATGGGGGGATGGGGGTGGTGGGGATATTATCCATGGTGGTGGAAAATGGGCACTGGTGGATGGATGGGTATCTGATCATTGTATAATTGAAACCAAAGCACAAAAATTGTAAATCTACAACTGAAAAAAAATAAAATATAATTATGTAAAAAAAATTTGCACATGTCCTTAAAAACTGTAGATTCAGGTGTAGATGTAGATATAAACAACAGCAACAAACTTAGCAAGGGGAAAACTTAGATTTGGACTCCAGACTCTCACGTTCTAGATCTAACTCACAACTGGTCCAGGAAAAGGTTCAAACCTCTCATTAACAGATGCACTAAGTCTGTACCTTTACTTGGCTACTTCCCAGGTGGATAACCTTTGTTCTTCGAGGTTCTGGTTTACTCTAAAATTGGGATAGCTATTGTTGGATTGCTGTGAGAATTTCAGCTGAATATATGTAGTTTTGACACATTGGCTCCACAGAACTGGCAAGAGAACAGGTCATCGCAGTCTGCCCTGTCCTACCCATTGTACAAGGGACAGGAAAGGAAGGACAGACCCTAGAGGGAGGATGAGTACGAGAAGCCGTGTGGACAAATAAGACAAAGACAAGACAGACAAGGTCAACCAATAACTCTGGGAGCCTCTAGAGGGAGAAGACTCAGTTTATTGCAAACAGGCTTATGTTTATATACCTTGAGAGAAAAACTAGAACAATGGGTGGACACCTTTTCGGGGAGAGATTTCTGCACAAGCCCACAAGCTTTTAAACAGGGTGTTCTGGTTCCTCACTCTCTCTGGCTGACTGGCAATTAGCTTGCTCAATGGTCCCTGGTGCATTGTTTTAGTAACTGGGCATTGTGTCCAGCCATTTAAAGAGGGAGGGAGGAGTCACTACTGGGAAGTCAAGAGGGCTCTGGCAAGGGAGGGGCTGCTTATGTCTCAGGAGCTCATCCTTGACCCCAACTGTTCCCCCACTTGTCACCTGAAGCACCCCACAAATATATATATATACAGATATATTCATATATATTCATACATATATATTAGTTGAGTACATACCAAGGACCCAACATTATTCTAAGCCCTTTATGTATTTAAACACCTGAACAGTTGTAGAAGATTTTTAATTCCCTTTTGACAGACTCTACTGGCAGGCTCTGTCATTTGCTGAAGGTTGTGCAGTTAATAAGTGGAACTGATAGTTCACTCTCTTAATTTCTACCCTAGTCCAGCCCTACCTCCTAGTACCTGGATTTGTTTCTTTGTTTCTGTCCCAGAATTTGTGAAATATTCTGAGTGCTGTGCCCTGTCAGACATATGTGAAACACCACCTGTTTTGTCCTGAAAGACTTCAGAACACAATCCACGGTGGTGTCACGAGATCAGAGAGCGTACTCTGCACCATCCTGCCTGATCCTGCCTGCTCTTTACTCATTCCCAAAGCTAAGCTTGTCTCAATTTTGGCGGTTGACCTGAGTAGCAGTAGCCACAGGTCTTTCTTAAAAATCCTGTGAAGAAATGTTTTCAGCCTTGTTCTATCATGACATTTTTCTGCCCCTTCCTCTATTTATAGATACTGATGTTTGAAGTAGGGTTTGCCTAAGTGGGAAGTGGGTAACATTTGTCTCTTTAAAACCACCCGTGCAGTAGTAAATCCTTCCTGTTCTACTCTTTCCTTTCTCAGTGGATCAGTTTAATTAGAAGTTGTAGACTCTGAAGAAATCAGAACTAATGGAAGTGTCATGTATAGCAGTGCTTCTCAAACTTTACTATACTTAAAAGTCATCTGGGGTCCCTGTAAACTGTGAATATTGATACAGGTATGTCTGGCTGGAGACCTCATGTTCTATGTTGCTGACAGGGCCTGATCATGTCTGTGCTGCTAGTCTCTGAGCTGTCATCAGAGTAGCAAGGATATAAAGACTGAACTACCACACCAGGGAGGCATATCGTCTTCTGCAGTGAATTTAATCCAAAGGAACAAATCTCTCATAGTGGAATTAAATGGGCTGACTTGAAGAAATTTGTCTAATTCAAACCTTACCTTGACTGCTGACCAAAACAGTTGTTCCTGATAAGAGAAGAGAATAGCATAGTCTCTTAAACTTTATTATAAACACATTTCCACCCATCAATTTAATTTAGTGACTCTCAAATGACTTCACTTATTCTCTCTTCGTTCTGTGCAAAACGATCTTTGTCTTGCTATAGACAAAGCTGAGTTTCTCATGACCAGGGAAATAGATAATGAAACTGTTTCTGGTGCAGAGGCCACATGTGTATTTCCAATCTCATCCTCTTTGCTCTTTCTGACGTTGCCTGGATAAAAAGAAAGTTATTTTATTTCACCATCTTTGACTGAGAGTTCAATAGGGATGTTTATGAATAATTCTGTTAGAAATGGCCTGATAACCCTCACTTAGATGATGAATCATGGTACAAAGCATCACATATGGCTATGTAGTGCTGCCAGAAATTAGAAATGATGTGGCTGATTCTACGTTGTGACAGCAGAGATTTATATTCTCTATTTCCTTTTCCAGGGAGGAGAACATTGCTACTACCAGGGCCATATCCGAGAAAACCCTGCCTCATTTGTGGCATTGTCAACTTGCCATGGACTTCAGTAAGTACCCCTCTTCAGTGACTGCTGCTACCCACCCCCCTCCCTTAGTTTTCTTCATCTATTCTTTCAATCACCTATATTTTAACTTTTAATGCATTATAAATTAAACCCCCATGTTATGTTAAGGAATCATTTTAAGTCAGTGGTAAAACTGATCTTTTTCTCGTGGGGTTTATAAATCAAATGTATTTTAAAATTAGAGTTGTAGAGAGCAGGGTGTTTGGAATGATAAGGTACTGTGAGGTGACACTGGAAACGATTTTTTGTTTGTTTGTTTCACCCCATTTGTGGCACGAGAGGTTTGGATAACTCTTGTCTCTTTTTCCGTGGGTTGTTTAGTCCCCAGATACTAATTCGGCCCTTATCCTTCTCGATGTGAATGCTTACCTTTTTATTGAAGTAATAGAAATTTGATAGACGAAATGCTTCACTCTGAACAAAAACCAAAAGCTGCAAAAGGATCAGGGGTGGGAAGAAATGAGTGGGTAAAGATATTATGGTGCATCTACACAATGGAACACTACACAGCTGTTAAGAAAAAATGAAGTAATAAAATTTGCCTTTACATGGATGGACATGGAGAGTATCATACTGAGTAAATCAGTCAGAGGGAGAGAACATAGAATGGTTACACTCATTTTCTGGATAAAAACAAAACAGAAAACATAATGTCCAAAAGTAGAAGTAAGTGTCATGAGGATTGGTATGAAGGGGGAGGAATAGTGTAGTTAGGACAGAGAAGGGACCACTATGACAATTATAGTTGGAAATGATCCATCTGGACAATAACTGAGTGCTGAAAGGAGGTAAAGTGATATGCATGATCACTTTCAGTATAAGTATGGCAAACCTCAGTGCCTGAGAGAGAGGTGGGGCGGGCAGGCAGAGAGAGTGGGGGAGGAGTGTCTGCCGTAGAGGCAGACTGTGAGTGGAGGCGGGTCAGGGGTAGGTGGGCAGGAAGGAAACTGAGGACATTGGTGAAAAATTTGTGCTGGTGAGAGAATAGGTGTTGGAACATTGTATGACTGAGACTCAGTCAAGAATAACTTTGTAGCTGTATGTCTCAAGGTGGTTCAATTAAAAAAAAAATGAAAGCTTCTCCAGTCTTTCAGCCCCATTTTCTCATGGAAATCCCACCAAAGTTGAAGCAAACTAATGGGAGGATCACGAATCACGACCATCCTGTTATTCGTCGATTGCCTCGAGCGGGCCCCAGTAATGTCTCCTTCATCCTAGCCCTGAGATTATATTCAAGGCTCTTTAGGAGAATGAGACCCATCATTGTTACTGGTATTTGGCATATTGGGTACGTCACGGGGAGTTTGCCAGACTCTGCTGTGTGGGCAGGTTACATTCGGTAGCCTGCCACTTTGTCCAAAGTTTTTCCCCCTGGCGCCATGTAATCCCATCAACGGCCAAGACTCAGAGACTATAAAAACCAGCTCCCGGAAGAGAACAGTGCAGTCTCCTGCCCCCGCGCCTGGCTGTCCTCACTGGAGCCCCTTAGAGGGGAGCGGGTTGAGTTTCCCTCCCTGCCCTGATCAGGGCTCCGGCAGCCGAAAACCTCAAAAAATAAGGCGGCCGTGCGACATCTTATTATGACATCTTATTATCTCATTCCAATGGGAGGATCTGACTAGAAATTTCCAAGGATCAGAATTCACTCTTCATCAGGCCTGTGCATCCTTTTTCATATCCTTCACTATCAATTATGGTTTCTGTGTGTAGCTTGAGTGCACTGCTGCTTCCTCCATCTTGTCCATAATGGTGACACAACGTGACTGCTTGGTCTACACAACTTCTGTCACCATCTAGGTCATTTTGCGGCCTGCTACTTAGGCTCCATAACTATCTATTCCTTCTTGTTTATAGGACTTTTATTTTTGCCCAGAGCAATTTAGCACTTCAGTTTTGTCCCATTTTTATTTGAAAAATGTTCACTATTTCTTGTATGTTACCAAATTTAGAAATGTAACCCTTTGGGGGCAGGAGAGAACACAGTGGGAAGGATACTTGCCTTGTACATGGACAACCTAGGTTCGATCCCCAGCATCCTATATAGTCTCCCAAGCACCTCCAGGAGTAATTCCTGAGTGCAGAGCAAGGAGTGACCCCTGAGCACTGCTGGGTGTGACCCTCCTACCCCCCGGCAAGTAGAAATATGACCCTTTCATCTAGCAACTAATGAATGTTGTGTGTAAAACACAGACAATATTAAGATGTTTGGAATATGATCCCTGTTTCAAAGGAGCTCAGTTTCCTGTGGAGACTACACCGAGCCCAGCTTTTAAGTATGAAATGTAGTGCAAGCGTACTCATTTTCATTGCAAGGGGATGGAGAGAACTGCAGCTGTGGGTGAGCACTTGAAGAGTGAGTGAGTGAGTGAGGTAACGTTTTTTTTTGTTGTTTTTTGGGTCACACCCAGTGATGCTCAGGGGTTACTCCTGGGTCATGCACTCAGGAATTACTCCTGGCGGTGCTCGAGGGATCATATGGGATGCTGGGATTTAACTCGGGTTGGCTGCATGCAAGACAAATGCCCTACCTGCTGTGCTATTGCTCCAGTCCCCGAATGAGGTAATTCTTGAGGCTACAGAGAAGTAACATCTGAAAAAGATAGAGTGGACCCCCCAAGAGGCTATGGTGGAATCTGCAAGAGAAGAGGATTATATAGACAGGTCTCAAAGAACATAAGGAAAGATGTCTAAGAGTAAGGGTGGGAGGTAGAATCTAACTCATGTGCTGAAGGGGTGCTGCTGATTAGCTTATGGGGGGCTGGAGAGAGTGAGAAACAAGATCCAGGATCTATTAATAACCAGGGAAGGAATTCCATAGGCCTGAGACCAGGGAGATTTCCAGCTGCCTATTATTTGTTCTGCTACACTTTTGCTGCCTTTAAATACATTCCTAGAATATGATTTTCTTTTCTTTTTTTACAAGCATGGAACCCGTCTTTGACTGGTAACAGAGATAGCTTTTCTTATCTGGAGAAAGAAGCACTGTATATAATGTTTCAGTAGTAAAATCATCATATCTGATCCCAAGATAAGAAAGCAAAACTATTAGCTAGGAGTAATGCCCTGGGTATGGCCACATTATGACAGCAAATGAATATTGCAGGAAAGCGATTTTAAAAAGAGACCTTCCCTCATTACTATTTTCCACTTCCATGTTATACTAGTTTGACACCTAGTTTTCCACAAGAACACAATACTGGAGAAATCCGAAAGAAAATGATTAAAAATTCTTGCTGTGAACCTAAGACTGAAAATGTACAGCTAATCCTAGCTAGGCATTTAAAGAAGGGTAGAAAAACAACTTTAAAAAACTTCTGTCGGTGGATAAAGAAAATTCAGAATCTTCTATAATTATTTTAACAGTAAAATTTACTGCTAACATTAGAAATTGTTTCATTTAAAACTAAACAAAAAGAAACAAAATCCACCATGTGTTTGTATACAGGGTCACGGTTATAAGGAGCATGTCTAGGTGTTATTAGATTTTTTGGTTTTAATAAGCATGTTGCTGGAGGGATAGCACAGCGGTAGGGCGTTTGCCTTGCACGCAGCCAACATGACAGACCTGAGTTCGATTCCTCCGCTCCTCTCGGAGAGCCCGGCAAGCTACCGAGAGAGAGTATCTCGCCCGCACGGCAGAGCCTGGCAAGCTACCGGGATGTATTCGATATGCCAAACACAGTAACAACAAAGTCTCCAATGGAGATGTTACTGGGCCTGCTCGAGCAAATTGATGAACAACGGGAGGACAGTGACAGTGACAATAAGCACGTTAGATACATTTACTCATCCTTTTTTGTTATTTATCTGTTATTACTTAATTTTACCTTCTGAACAAAATTTTCTGACAAATATTTGGCAGTATTGCTGAATATGAACGCATATTTAGTTGAACTGGTATAAATATAGATGCATCCTTTCATCTATGACTCATCTTTATTACAGTTCAAGTATATACTTTTTTTTTATAATTCTTGATTCACTAAACTTAGCTGAAAATGTAAAGGATAAAACAATATTATCCATATTCTTTTCCATAAAATATGCAAGAGGATTTTTTAAAAATTAAAATCACTTTAGAGTAGTATTGGTCCTGATTGAAATTATGACAAAATCCGGTAACAACAGGAACCTTAAGGATGTGAATCAAATGTTAGTTTATCGCCCTCTTGTGGCAATTAGTAAAAAATGACTGTTTAAATATTGGAGTGTTTTTTTTTTTTAGTATCTTGTCTTAATATTGTAATATTGTAGCTCCATTGTTTCCTGACAACACAATTCTAACTATAGCTCAGAAATCTAAGAAAGGTTTTGAAAAAATTTTTTTTCGTGAGCGTTCCAGCTGACTCTTTGCTTAACAGATTCTTAGAATTGTGTGTTACAGGGTGGAATGAAAGACCACAGTTAGATCCTGTCAATGAAAAACTGAGCAACAGTCAAAATAAGGGTATCCTACTGATTACAGAAAAAAGTCAGAGGTCTTCCCCTCTTCATAATATATGTGGTGTGTTTCTCTGTGTTCTGGAAGTTGTGTATGTGAGTGGTGTTTGGTGGTGGTGGGTAAGATTGGGAAGTGGGGTCAAAAAGCAAACTTGACCTTCATCTGCTGCTTATTTTTTAATGATCTGATTATAAGACATAGATAGTCATGCCTAATTACTTTCTTGTCCATAACAGTGGCATGTTCTACGATGGAAACCACACCTATCTCATTGAGCCAGAAGAAAACGACACCTCCCAAGTAAGTTCTCCTTCCATTCTCTATGGCAAAAGTAAAAATTGATGTTAGGAGCTTTGCTCTCCTAGCTCCTCACCACCCCCCTTTATTTTTGTAGTTTAGAGTCAGGAGAGCTATCTATATGTATCACAGTATCACTAACATCCTGTTGTTCATCGATTTGCTCGAGCGGGCTCTAGTAATGTCTCCATTCATCACTGCCCTGAGATTTTAGCGGCTTTTCCTTACTTGTCCCTCCCAGAAGTGCCTTATTGAGGCTCTTTCAGGATCTGGGGAATGAGACCTGTTATTGCTACTGTTTTTGGCATATCGAATATGCCACTGGGAGCTTGCCAGGCTCTGCTGTGCGGGCAGGATACTCTCTGTAACTTGTTGGGCTCTCCGAGAGAGATGGAGAATGTATATAAGAGAATACAAGCAAGTATGTTAAAACCAAACACATGTGTGCTGCTTTTAGGTACATCAGTGGACTAGACTATAAGAGGTCCCGAAGCTGAGCCGCTTTGTTTTTTAGTCTTTGGATCTTGGCCATTGTTGGGATCATATGGTGCCAGAGGCAGTTTGTGGGTGTCACTACCAAGCTACTGGAAAATGGGGAATCTGGGTGGAGGAGGCTCAGTCCTGATCTGAACAGGCTTCAAGATCTCAGCCCCAGGTCCCGCATACCTGGGTTTTTCTGCCGGTTCCTTCGTGCACAAGGCTCTTTCGAGCATGTGGAGAGTGGCCTTGAGCATGGCTGTGGCTGGGTTCTGGAGATTTTCAGCTGCTGGGGTTTTGCTTGGGGTGAGGAGGAAAACTCAACCCACCCCCTCTGAGGGGCCCCAGTAAAGACAACCTGGCGTGGGGGCATATATATACATACATATATGTATATATATATATATATATATACACACATATATATATTAAAACATATTGTAGATAAAAATAATAAGCAATAAATAATATAAAATGATACAATTGTATATTTGATTCATTGAAACCTTATTGCTTTCTTTTTTACATCTCTTTCGCCTCTTTTATGTTAGAGAAAGCTTCCTTCTGAGTTGTTCTGAACTTCCATTTCTCCCTTGGCCGGGGTGTGCTGAGTATGTCTTTGTTTGCTCAGGCAGTGATTTCAAAATACTGGGAGATGCTTCAGATCAGACATTCATTTTCTCCCAGTGCTAGCTAGTGTCGGGTGTCAGGGGAGTCCAAGACCAGGAGGGGCAGAGTCTTGGTGAAAGTCTCCGTGGATGATAGATTGCCATTCCTCCCTGAGAGAGAGACAACCCCACCCTATGTCCTTTTTTGACCTTTATCACTCATGTTCAGGCCTGTCTCCAAATGCAAGAACAGAGTTGGAGAGATAGTGTAGGGCTCAGGTGCTTGCCTTGCTCCTAGCAGATCTGACAGCAGTTCGATTCTTGGTACCACATATGTTCCCCCTGAGCATGGAGCCAGGTGCAAGCTCTGAGCAACACTGGATGTTGCTTCTAAAACAAACAAGCCAAAATTCACAAATGCAGTTACAATGGAAGTTAGAGTGTCAACATATAACTTTGGAAAGCGTATAAACATTCAGTCCTTAGACAAAAGATTTTTCATTCCTTCTCTCCCCGTATAGATTCAAGATTTTTGAAATTGTCTATTGTTTAAAGACCCTGTTTTAATGAGGTTTAGAAAAATAGAGATCTTCTTCTTCACTTTAGTTAAAAAATAATTTCCCACATATTAGAATTGAATTTATTTATTAGATAACAGAGAAACACTATATATATACATATATATGTATATATATAGTCTAGCTAGTGTTTTGTACACAAATATGTTTCCTTGTATTGGAACATTTGCCAGACATTTAGAGAGATAAATAACTTTAAAAGATCACATTGTTTTGTTACCGAGAAATAATCTCATTGGAGATACATTCTTTACTGTACATTTATTTTTTTTAGGTAACTTCTGCCAGGTATGTCACTTTGAGTCAGTGATATTTTTACTGCTAATCTCATGAAATTTGACTATGTATTATCTGTCGTAGTAATTAAATAAAGTCAAAGAATTGTTTCAATGATTTTTTTCTTTTTTTTTTCTCATTTGGCTTGCCACAGGGGAAAAAATGTATGCTCGCAGAATTTTCGCAAGTTCCACTTAGGGCATCTGCTTGTAACAGTTCTCTGGTCCCCAGTAGCAGAAAGATAGTTCTGTTGTGTTTGCTTGCAAAGCTATCCTAGTTCTAAATGGGGGGCAAGGATCCATGGAAAGGAATCAGTCACACAATACATTAACTTATTTTTCCAGATGTCTTATTTCTCCTTGGGGTGTTAAGTTCATTCATTTACTCTCAATTACCATGACGTGGACTTCATGAAGGCATTCTGCTTTGAACAGACTGTCACTCTGGTGTGAGAACACATGTGAACGAGGGTTGTGTGATGGCATGTAGCTTTAGCCCAGGGGCCAGGGGGCAGGGGCTCTTGCTCATCAGTGCAGGCGTCTCTGCTTCTGCAGCGATGGCTATCTGAGGATGTGGTACCTGGTGCTTACTCTCGATTATTTTTTGTTATTTCAGGAGGAGTTCCATTTTCATTCAGTTTATAAATCCAGACTGTTTGAATTTCCCTTGGACGATCTTCCATCTGGTATGCTATTCCTAGAGGGACTATGAAGCTAATAGTTTATTTTAATGTTTTAGAGCTAATACATAACATATATATATATATATAATATAGATAACATATAACACATTCATATGTAAGTCTGTAGAGTATTATTATCCTGTGACCACTTAAGGTAATTTTATAAAGAAAAAAACAAGTGCCATTAAGAGGGAGAATAAGATGCAAATTGACTCCATTTTTATAGAAAGTGAATTTGGAGACAGATTGAGTATGCTAAAGGAAACTTTTAAAATGTAAGATTTGAATTAAGGTGCTAGAGAGGAACTGATGTTAGCACCAAACTTTGTGTGCATTACAGTGTAAAAAATCACTCTTGTTAAAATAATGGCTTTATATCTATAAGTTTGAACTCTTAGTCATTGTTGTTTTCTTCACCTCTTTTGTCCTTGCATTTGAACAAATAACTATTAGCGAGCAACACTTTACATTAGGGTCAGAGAAATAGCTCAATGGAGTAGAGAACTTTCTTCGCATGTCAGATTTTGGGGTCCCTGGGAACCACTGGGAGTGACTCCCAAGCACTGAGCCAGTAGTGCCCCTTAAAATTACTGGGTGTGGCCCCCAAAGCACTTCCTGTTATTATGTGTTATTTGTAAAATGAGCAGTTTCCCTTATGTACTTTCACAGGTCCATTTGTTATAGATGTTAATTTGAAACTTGAATATAAATCTTTATATGCAAGGAAGGGCAGAGTGCTCTGCTGTGGCCTCAGTAGTGGAGTTACAGTTACACATTTGTCCTTGGCTCTCCTAGACTCATTCATATTCTACTGAAAACAGGGCACTGCCTGAACTCAAAATGCCTTTGAATTTTTCAAGGCATTTTAAAAAAGGCATGCTTAAAAAACTTTTTAAGTATGTCATTTGGTCATGCCCAGGGTCCCATAGCAAGTAAGGGACTGAATATAGTCTCAAAGAAATATCAAGGGAAATGGAAAAATTACTAAAATAAGCATTAGTTACTCCTCTGTACATGGAAACTTTTGATTATTTCTATAGTTATTTTATGAAACATTTTTATAATCCCTGTTGTGGGAGGAAAATAAATCATGGCTAGCATTTTGAGAATAAAGTTGCAATGTGATAGCTCCTCCTGGAGGCAATAAATTTTTTTTTAATTTGTATTAGTGAAACACCATGAGGTACAATTGTAGACTTACAAATTTTTGTGCTTGGGTTTCAGTTATACAATGATTGAGTACCCATCCCTCCACCAGTGCCCATTCTCCACCACCACTGATCCCAGTATCCCTCCCACCCCCCATTTCCCCTATTCCACTCTACCTCTGTGGCAGGGCATTCACTTTTGTTCTCTCTCTCTTTTTGGGTGCTGTGATTTGCAAAAGAGGCATTGAGTGGCAATCATCTTCGGTCTATAGGCTACTTTCAGCATGCTTCTCCCATCCTGGGAGGATCCTCCCAACACCCTTTACTTGGTGCTCCTTTCTCTCTCTGAGCTGCCTTTTCCCCTAGCATGTGCGGCTGGTCTCCAAGCCATGGAGTGAACCTCCTGGTACTTACCTCAGCTATTCTTGGGTGTTAGTCTCTTCTTTTGTTACTTTATATTCCCCACATGAATGCAATCTTTCTATGTCTGTCCCTCTCTTTCTGACTCATTTCACTTAGCATGATACTTTCTATGTAGTACCACTTCTATGTAAATTTCATGACTTCATCTTTTCTAACAGCTATGTAGTACTCCATTGTGTAGATGTACCAAAGTTTCTTTCCTTTTTTTTTTTAGTGTTGATATTTTGTTTTGTACTTCTTTTTTTTTTTTAGTTTTTTTTTTTTTTTTTTAGATTTTTATTAGTGAAACACCATGAGGTACAGTTGTATATTTACAAATGTTTGTGCTTGGGTTTCAGGTTTACAATGATCTAATACCCATCCCTCCACCAGTGCCCATTCTCCACCACCACTGATCCACTGATCCCAGTATCCCTCCCACCAGGATCCTCCCAGGATGGGAGATGTGTGCTGAGAGTAGACTCTAGACTGAACATGATTGCCAAAGTTGCTTTAACCAGTCATCTGTTCTCTGACACTCGGGTTTTTTCCAGATTTTGGCTATTGTGAATAGTGCAGCAATGAATATAGAAGTGCAGATGTCATTTTGATTGTACTTTTTTGCCTCTCCAGGATATATTCCCAGGAGTGGTATTGCTGGGTCAAATGGGAGCTCAATTTCTAATTTTTTGAGATTCGTCCATACTGTTTTTCAAAAGGGCTGAACCAGTAGGCATTCCCACCAGCAGTGAAGGAGGTTCCCTTTCTCACCACATCTGCACCAGTACCAGGAGGCAATAAATCTTTATTAAAAATTAAAACAACAAAGATTATCCTTTAAGATTTTACGTAAATTTTCTATAATATAATTTTATATATTTTAAGACTTTATTCTGGATTTCATTTTAATTAAAATTTCAAAGGTGGCCTAGCAGTTTACTGTTATTAAATATTTGTTTTTGAACATATTCATTGAAAACTCAAGCCTGTCTCTATTTGTTTCTGTTTTAATTTTCATATTAGAATTTGGTTTAGAAAAAATTTTCGCCAAAATTGCTTGTTATTTGTCTTCCAAGATATATAGACTTAGTGATTAATTAGATAAACAAACAAAACCAGGCAAATTAATGTCAAAATTAATTTTTATAAAACAAATATTAAAGTAAACTTATCTTTCGTTTAGTGCATTTTCCCCTGAGTTGTGGATCATCTGCACCTTTGTCTTGCTATATATTAAATGTTTTCCAGAGAGAGAGAGAGAGAGAGAGAGACTATGATCAAGGTTCTCTAGATTTATTTGACTTTAGAACTGTTTGTTTTATATGACGTGTTTCTCAGGACTAGAGTTCTTCAGAACACTTTTTGAGAAAACTTAGTTATTTGTTATGGATGTCTTATCATTGAGTGTTTTTTTAAGTACTGTGGAAGATACACAGATCTTGTGCATTAAATAGATGTGTTTTAAGACATACAAAGTACCCTTTTGAGCTCTAAAGCATTTTAATTGACCCAGCCATTAACCTCTGCCTATTTCCAGACAGTGCCTCATAGTTGCGTAGTATCCTTTTGTGTCTTTTCAGAGATTAGTTAGATGATGCTGAAACAATCCAGGGGACAATAGTAACATTGGGCAGATTGTGGTACACTTTCTTCACTTAAAGAAGGTAGATTTCCAGGGGTTCATCAAGTACTTTTGTTTTTGAAAAGGGACAATGGGTCAAATAAGTTTGAAAACCTCTTGTTTAATCTGTTATAGCTCTTCATGCAAATGGGATTATGCATTATGTGCAACTCCTTGTGTAGAGATGTATATTTGTAACTGTAAATGATACAATTATAATAATATTAATTCCATGTTATTGATTAAAATTCTAGAATTCATACTAGAAAGGGTTAGTAAGACTTTGATGACCTTGTCTGTGTATAGTTAATAGCCTATTCAATTTGTTTTTGATTTTCTTTCAGAATTCCAACAAGTCAACATCACGCCACCAAAATTTATTTTAAAGCCAAGGCCCCAAAGAAGTAAACGACAGGTGTGTTGTCACAAGTATATGTCAGGATGCTTTTAAAACACTTGTCAATATACTCTGAGTCTCGGAAAGTATTAGTTCAGGTATTTATCGGGGTGTGTAAAACAGTAAGGGTGACAGATTCATAGGAGCAGTGAGAGTGGGACCATATTTATTTCATAAATTCAAAAAGGAATCACAACAGCAGTGATAATACGTTTATTCATCCTGTTGGTAGATCAGGGCCCCCACTGATCCAGCATTTTAATTTTTTTCTAGCAGAGACATCTATCCTTGCATGGATGTCTTCCATATAAGGGAGACCATACATAATATAGGGAACTTATCCTATACTATATAAAGCTTCTTACGTATACTCTCCTAAGAGTGAATTCATTAGGGCTTAAAGCCATAAAGTGTTATTGTCACACTTAAACTCTTTTGGAGTCTGGCATTTATATCAGGATGTCAGCTTTATGAGTGTTCAATAGATCTTGGACTCAGTAATAACAATAACTGGTGATGCTTTAAGCATCACAACGTAGATGCTGTTATTCTCCTTTCATAAGAAAGGAGCCTCTGGATGGGACTGGAGCAATAGCACAGTGGGTAGGGCGTTTGTCTTGCACGCAGCTGACCCGGGTTCAATTCCCAGCATCCTATATGGTCCCCTGAGCACCGCCAGGGGTAATTCCTGAGTGCAGAGCCAGGAGTGACCCCTGTGCATTGCTGGGTGTGACCCAAAAAGCAAAAAAAAAAAAAAGGAGCCTCTGGATTATGAAAATGTCTTGTTTAGAATCATAGAGCTGGTAAATGGTTTAGATAGAAAGAGCATTCTGCTTAACAGAATTAGATGTTGCTCCCAATTTGGTGCTGGTTGGTGTGTGTGTGTGTGTGTGTGTGTGTGTGTGTGTGTGTGTGTGTGTGTGTGCCATTAAGCACACAGGATGACAACTGGGATGATGGTGTGTACAATGCTTTGTATTTCAAACCTGTTACCACATAGTCTACTGAACGACACCAGGGTGGCCCTGTTGGCCCTAGTACCCCAGACTGGGCAGTCTGGTTGACCATATAACACCAGGAGAAGCCCCCTAGTCCCCTGAGCACTGCCTGGGAGCCCCCCTTCAAAATCAAACAAAAACACATGGCATGAAAGAAATGGATCTCTACTATATTCAAGTCATTTAGGGGACCAGGTGTCTTCTCTTCAAAGTATATTAAATTATATATATAGGCATACTCTAATGTGAATAATTGTTAAATTTCATTGAATCCTAACCATGCATCTTACCCTATTTTAAAATTTTTAGTTGTGTTGACATATGAATCCTCATAACAGTCTCAGGAGTAAACTATCATTTAGCAGCATTTTAGTGGTAAGACATTGAAACGTATGAGACGTAAGAGCCTTGCCCACAGCTGTACAGTGCTGACTTAGAATAATATTCTTCAGCCTTTTTGTATCTGCTAACTAGCACCTATTTGCATACCAGTGCTTGTTGTATGGTACATCTAGACATGAACACAACACTTATATCACATATTTATCTTTAATTTTGTGAGAAGCTTAAATTTCTAGATTAGACAGTTTAAGTAATGATGCACACAATATTATAAATATAAATGTCTATCAGTGATTGAATGGGTCAAGAAAATGTGTCATACATATATTTATACCTATATATTATTTCTATATATCCATATATTTACATGTACTCAAGAAATATTACTTGACCCCGAAAAATAAAAGGAAATTTTTTCATTTGTGATGAAATAGATGAACCTGAAAGGGAAGAAGCCAATTACTTCTAGGAAAAATTTTTATAGCAACACTTATTCATGGAATCTTAGAAAATGTTAAACTTGGGCTGTGAGACTTGCCTTGGGTACAAGATAACGTACTCCAGCTCCATCCCTGGTATCACATATTGCTTCCAGAACCCACGAAGAGTGATCCCTGAGCACAGAGGTAGGAGTAGTCCCTGCACATATTTGGTGTTCCCCCTCCCCCTATAGAAACAGAGATTAGAAAAGTGGGTGCTTAAGACTGTGGGTGAGAACAGGAAGAGAGATTGGTAAAAAGATTTAAAACTTTCCATTATAGAATGAGTAATTGAGCTAATGCAGAATATAGTCTAGTTTCTCACAGCCCATTGCAGAGGACTTATTTAGGTGCCATTTCTTTTGCTATATTGCAGCTTCATCGACATCCACGTAATGTAGAGGAGGAAACCAAATATATTGAACTGATGATTGTGAATGATCACCTCATGGTAGGATATTTTGTATTTTTTATTGTTTTGAGCTTTTTTGTTTCATGGATGAAGCAGAGTTCAAAAATATGGTCACAAGAAACAAGCCCATAAAGTTATAATGTGGAAAAGGTAATTATATCACCAAATACATATAACCCAACAACAACCTTTGAGAAGAAAAACGTCAGGTGTAAATATTGGACAATGTTTTATGAGATTCCCAATCTACTTCTGACTTACAGTTGCAACTCTCCATTTGTTTAGATTAATATAGGGGCTAATAGATGTTCTTACTAAAATGCCAAGACTTATGTGAGCAAGGAAATTTCTATTTGTATATTGAGGTGAAACCCACAAATGTGATATTATAGTTTGCAATATTCTACTTTATCCTAGTAAGATAAAATCAAATTCCTGTTTCTGTCTTCAAATACCCTAAAACAAATGGCAAATTTCGGTATTGAAGCTACTGAATTTTTTTTTTTTCGGTAAAAAAGCTATTCTTTTTTTTTAAATTTTATTTAATCACCATGAATTAGTTACAGGCTTTCATGTTTGGGTTACAATCACACAATGAGTGGCCAAACTTTCTTCTTGTTGATGGGCCATTTTGTTTTCTCTGAGTCATGTGTATATCCAGTTTCTGGACATGTTGTGCCCAGCACTATGACACTCACGACACAGCTGTAGGGCACACTGCTAATTCTTCCAGGGAAACACAGCTTTGAACTAAAAGCATGCAGTACTATAAATTGCTGGATTTTACTTACTATCATATATGAGTGTATTCTTAATTGCCTTGAATGATCCATTTGAAGAAAATTGTGTCCCTGATTCACAGATGGTGAAAGAAATCCCATGGATCTTTACTTCAGCTGTGGATAGTAATTCTGATGATAATACAGTCAAGATGGTATTACAAAGGGCTCCTTTGTTCAGTCTAGGACTAGGTTTTTTTTTTCTTTCTACCTGTTTGAATCCAGTGACTGTTCCTGATCCCTGAAAGTTTACAAAATAAGAGGAGGGTGTCAGGAACATACATTTTAGAATATCATCCATTCAAGTGTCTGACAAGTGTTAGAGGGAGCACTGGGTGCCTGGGGGAAAGTGAGGCATGTGGTCTGTCTTAAGGAAGCATCAACCTCAAGAGAACTGCCTATCTGGATCACCTGGGAATGCTACTTTTAAATGAAGCCAGAAATTAGGGTTCATTTATTTCCTGTTACACTACATTAGGCACTTGGATTATTTCCAGATCTTGGCTGTTATTGTGCCTAATGGTATACCCCCCACCATTTTTCTTGATGTACTATGAGTTACAGTGTTGCTTAGTAAATGTATACATCTTTCCAGCACCACACTCACCACCAGAATGCCCCCTTCCCTCCACCAGTAGGGCCCTTTCCACCCCTCTTACCCCAGGTAAGCTTGGTTCTGTAGAACAACTTTTACAATCCAATTGTCCTTGACCTCATAATATCCTCTCAATATGTTCCTGTGTATCCCTCATATGAGAGAGATTCTTCTTTATCTGTCCCTTTCCTGTCTAGCTTCACTAAGCATGATATACTTGGTATCTGCCACAATGGATAAAAAACACTTGGAATAGAAAAGACATGTGTGCTCCTATGTTCATTGCAACACTATTCACAGTAGCCAAGATCTGGAGACAAATCAAGTGTCCCAGAATGCATAACTGGATAAAGAAAGCCTGTCTCAAATGCTGGGGGAGAAAGCAGTTCTGACAGACCACTGTGACAAAGATAGTTGAAAATGATCATTCTGGATAAGGAATGTATGCTGAAAATAGGTAAAGAAACAAACAGGATAACCTTTCCATATCTGTATTGCAAACCATAATACCCAAAAGGGGAGACAGAGAGACAGAGAAAGACACACACAGAGAGAGAAGGAGAGAGAGAGAGACAGACAGAGACAGAGACAGAGACACAGAAAGGAAAGTGCTGGCCATTGAGATTGACACAGGTTCAGCAGAGGGTGGAAGGAGGGAAAAAATGGGAACATTGGTAATGTACACTGGTGGAGGGATGGGTGTTGGAGCACTGTATAAATGAAACCTGACCATGAACAGCTTTGTAACTCTGTATCTCACAGTGCCTCAATCAAAATAAATAAATAAATAAATAAAAAGATTTTTTAAAAAAGTCAATGGATCACTACAACACTCCCCCACAAAGAACAGAAAGAAAAAGAAACAGTGGTAAAGATGCACAATGGAATACTGCTCAGCTATAAGAAAAGATAAAATCATGTAATTTGCCTAATGATATTTTAGTAAAAATTCTGTGATCCTGGTTTTTTCTGAAAGTAACATATCCAGGTGATCACAGTGGGAAAATTCTGGGAGGCCACTTCTCCCATGAGACAGATTGTGTTCCTCATCTTCTCCCATTATCACTGCTTCCTACTGGGTTATGCTTGATGCACTTCAGGCCTCATACCTGCCTATGGATATTGTAGACACCTGAATTGATGGTACCCTAAAGTGTATAAAATATACGTTTTGAGTATATATGGAATGGAATAAGTCAGTGATCCATTGACTTTTTAAAAAAATTTATTTATTTACTTATTTTGATTGAGTCACTGTGAGGTACAGAGTTACAAAGCTGTTCATGGCCGGGTTTCATTTTTGCAGTGCTCCAACACCCATCCCTCTACCAGTGCAGTGTACATTTACCACTACCAATATCCCCATTTTTTTCCCTCCTGCCACCCTCAGCTGAGCCTGTCTCATGGAAATTTGCTGATTTGTAGGTGAAACTAGAGGGCATCATGCTGAATGAAATCAGGAGAGGGACAGATGACAAAATGATCTCTTATATGTGGGACTTAAAGAAATATAGTTAAGGGTCTTACAACATATGTTGAAAGGCATCAGAAAAGGAGAGCTGGTCTACGTCTACAGACCTGAGTGCATATGTGGTGGGGGGGTGGCTGAGAGAGATCCCCAGGACATTGTTGGAGGGAAGTGGGCACTCTGATGGTAGGTGTATGCATGAAACTGTCATTAACAATATTGTAAATCACTATATTGTTACAGTGGTTTAAAGGGGGAAAATAAATACCATTAGTGCCAGATATGTGATCCATAGGTCCAAAAAGCCACCTTTTTGTAATTCTCAGGGTTTTATTCTTTTTAATAAATAAATATTTTAGCACTTATGACTTTTTTATACTTTTAGCAGTATTCACTTCCATTTTGAAGAGTTTGTTCCTATTTGTAAACTTTGTACTTCATAGAAAAGTTCTGCGTTTTTTTTTTCACTTGGAAAGTAATCAGTGATATGTCACGAATGTATTGGGCACTTTCTTTTTTTGCATCAGCTTCCAGAATAATAAGAACCTTGCTTCTGACTACACAGCTATAAAAAGACTTAGCAGCCATGTAAAGAACTAGGTATCAGATTTTATGATGCTTAATCGAAAGTCATAGAGAAACATATACTTTTTTCTCTTCTAAAATGATTTTTTGCCAGTGCTATTGAAAATGTTTCCTATGTTTTCTTTCAGTTTAAAAAACATCGACTTTCAGTTGTTCATACCAACACATATGCAAAGTCTGTGGTGAACATGGCAGACTTAGTAAGTATCAAGCTGATTCAGTAATTCTGTCTCCTGATTGATGCTAGATCAATAAAGGCTCTTAAATTTTTATGAAACTAAATTGTATTTTTGCCAAGGTGTCCAGCAGGTCACTTAGAAACTTGCGATTGATTCTAGTGATTTTGATCTCTGACTGGGAAGAAGATAAAAGGAAGTGATCAGTTACTCATGGATGTATGCCTGGAATCCCTTTCTCCATTTTTCACATCAGAAAACAAAAGGTTGAATCATGGCCTCTAACAAAGATATTCACAGTACATTTCCAACAATGAAGAAGCAGGGCCATTTGTGCCTTATTCTAAAGAGTGCTTTGGTACTTGTGAGAATGGTGTAACAAGATGATTGTACTGCAACTCATTTCCAAACCCCAGTCAGGCAGCACCAGTACCTTTTCCAAGACGTTATTAAATATAGCCTGTTTGGTCAGACTGAAGTTATTTCCCTAGAGAATCATCATTGTCCCATTTATCTAAGGAAACTCAACAATACATTATTTGTCCAAGAGGGAAGAAAATGGACTCAGAAGCGTGTTGAGTAAGGGTGCAAATAATTTTCCAAAAGTCAAATGCTCTGTTCTTTGGGTATCACTCGATAAATAGCTTAACTCTGCTACTCAAGAGAAATACATGAAACTTAGAAAAATAATCACCTCACTTAAAAAATAGTGACTTTTCTAACATTTAGTGAAAAGTTGAGGAGTTTCATTAAGAGAGTTTCTAATATCATTTGAAAATCACTTGATTTTAATATATGACCAGCTGGTGTGTTCATTTTGTTAATATGCTAGATTTATAAAGACCAACTTAAGACAAGGATAGTATTGGTCGCCATGGAAACCTGGGCTGCTGACAACAAATTTGCTATATCTGAAAATCCATTGATCACCCTGCGTGAGTTTATGAAATACAGGAGAGACTTTATCAAAGAGAAAAGTGATGCAGTTCACCTTTTTTCGTACGTAACTTTTGAAATTTAATACTTTCTTTGGTTTCATATTGAAGTACTCTTATGTCTGAGATGTATCCTTTTTGCTGAATAGTACAGTAAGGTTTTGGCATTGCAGATACATTTGGAAGAAGTTTTATAGGATAGAACTTTTGAAATTATCACATGCGTATTTCTTTTTAAGAAATAAAAGCATTTACGGAGTAAAGATATCATTAATAATGTCTGTTTTGTTTTTGGACCCCATCCAGTAAAAACTCAGTGTCTGTTCCTGGCTTAGTGCTCAGAGGTAATTCCTGACGGCATTTGGGGAGCACTCCTGTCGGTGCTTGGAAGACCAAATGTGGTAACAGGGATGGTACCTGGGCCTCCTGCATGCAGTATGCGTGCATAAGCCCATTGAGTGATGTCTCTGGTCCCAGTATTCTTAAAAGATTAATTATATTGTTTAAAATCACATATGGTAATATCATGCTTGCTTTGGATTCTAAATGAAGACCTTATTTAGAAAACCCTATTTCTGGGGTTTATTAAAATTTTACTCATGGTTTCCTCATGGATATCATGTATGTTTTGTTTAATAATAAATTTTTAGAGCCATTTTAAAAAATCTATCATCAGGGGGCTAGAGCGATAGCACAGTGGGTAGGGTGTTTGCCTTGCACACAGCTGGCTTGGGATTCAATTCCCAGCATCCCATATGGTCCCCTGAGCATAGCCGGGAGTAATTCCTGAGTGCAGAGCCAGGAGTAACCCCTGAGCATCGCTGGGTGTGACCCTAAAAGCAAAAGTAATCTATCATCTAAAGTCATAGCTGTAGAAGGTTATTATATGTGTAAGCAAAACACTGCATTTTGGGAGTGACTTAATTTTTGCACAATTTCAAATTTACTGAACATTGCTAGAAAATATGCCTTTTATCAAGATTATTATTTACATTTGTCCACTTAAATTTTTCCTTTATCCTTCCTTTCTTCTTTCTTTTTTCCTTCCTTACATCCTTTCATCTATTCATTTATCTTATTTTCCTTCAACTGTTTTGAGTAAATTGTATGAATTTACTTACTGAGTCTTTATGACTAAATTTTAAGTGTATATTCTCTGGGAATGAAGGCATTTTCTTCTGTAACCTTAGTTATTATTAAAGCAGAACATTTAGCATTATAGAATACTTTTATCACATACATGATCTTTATTCAAATTGCTAGTTGTCTCAGTATTCATTTTTACCTAATCCCCATTCCCTGCCTTAACCCAAGATCCAAAATAATATCACAAATTGCATCTGCCTTATCTCTTTAATCTCCCTTTACTATGAAATATTTCTCCAAACTTTATGTATCTATTTTGAGTTAGATATTTTTGAAGGTTATCAGTCAGTTATTTTATAAGATGTTCTTTGTTGTGGAGATACCTGGTATTGAGATCCAAGTTATGAGTTTGTGGCAAAAAAATACTACAGAAGGGATTTTGTATTTTTCTGGAGTGCATTATATTATTATTTTTCATAGACCTTGTTTATATATGATCATTAGTGATCATATTAGGAAATATATTTCAGGAACCTTTTCCTTTGGTACGTGTAAATAGTTTTCATATTATCTCCCTCAGGAACACCTAGCATAATAGGAATGTTATGTGAATTCAGAAACCTGGTAAATTAATATGAGATATGCATGTTATTTGAACTGTGAGCAGTAAGCATTTTTCGTTTCCTTTTCTAAAAGGGGAAGTCAATTTGAGAGTAGCCGGAGCGGGGCAGCTTATATTGGTGGGATTTGCTCGTTGCTGAAAGGAGGAGGCGTGAATGAAGTAGGTGTGAACATCTGTACAATACAAAGTGGTATGATGGCTGAAAATGTTTTCCTAATAACTAGCAGACAATACCATAGTATTCCATATACTCCAAATGTTTGGTTATTTTACTTAAATCCAGTATGGTTACTGCAAATCATCAGAGGACAGACTAGGGAAATAATGAATAGCAAATATTACCTGATAATTCTGTCCACTTTCTACTTCGAATAATTCCTAGATGAAAGAGAAACCCGACCTCTGCCTTCATTAAATTGATGTTTGTTCCTTTGAATTTCTGGGAATTGAGTAATTCACAGAAGCGTTGACTTATACCCTAACAGTGCAACTAGAATCTTTCTCAATATTTCACAAGTTTTTGGAGAGAGAAAAAGAAAAAATGGTTTTCCAAAGGGTTTATTTTACTCTTAAATAATAAACCCAGTAGAAGTGTTCTGAAAGAAAAATTACTTAATTGGGAGACAACATATTAAAAAATATAAAGCTAGGTCTTAAGTTTCTTTTGACTAAAATATCACTTTCTGTGGCTCACAGTATTTTCTGAAGCTGCATTCTGTTGATTAAAGGAAATTTCAGGAACATAAGTAGACACATAATATTGAACAAGATCCAAATGTTTTATGCACATATAGTTATGATGTATTACTTTAAAACCTGGCCTAATCATATATAAGTATTAAGTTTTACGGTGATGTTAGAGATGAAATTTTTATTCAGAGTTAGTTTTAAGGTTTCAAACTTAAAATTGGTGATAATCTGGCTTCTGGCCTACACTATAAAATTTAATTAGATATGTTTATTTCTTATTACATCTTTTAAAATAAACACTATAGTAGATCAGCACACTACCACAGTTGCTTAATAACTGCTAAATAAAATACTTAGAAATCAGTTATTTTAATTATATCGTGACTTATTTTCTGACCCATCTTAAACACAAACTACTTTGCCCTTATGTGTATTGTTTGTTTTTCAGTTTGGCAAAACCGACTTAATGGCAGTTACACTTGCCCAATCGCTAGCCCATAATATTGGCATTATATCAGACAAAAGGAAGTTAGCAAGTGGTAAGTTCAATTATACATATGGTTTAGTTGTATTTAATGTAGATTGTAAAATATTTTGGAGAATCTTTAAAATGCTTTAGAGAATGCAGGTGTTTAATTCAAATGCTTGAATAAACAAAAGCTTGGATGCTAATATAAAATAAATAGCCAGGGCATAAAATATTTTTTCAAATGTAATAAAATCCTGACAAGCTCTCCGTGACATATGCAATATGCCAAACACGGTAACAAGAAGTCTCACAATGGAGATGTTACTGGGCCAGCTTGAGCAAATCCATGAACAACGGGAGACAGTGCAGACAGTAGCATTTACATGAACATTTCTCTATGTGTTGTAAACGTTTTAAGCTAGGTGATGATTAAATCATTGCTCACTTTAACTTTATAAGGGGAAAGTTAAGTCCAGTTTGTTAATTGTAAGTAGCTTACTACAGAATTTTAGGCATATAGGTTTAATAGTCTACTACAGAGTTTTAGACATATAGGTTTAGTAGCCTACTAAAGAATTTTGGCATCAAGGTTTAGGTCATAATGTTTAATTATTGCTTATTTAAAAACATCTATTAGCGTAGCCAGAAACTGGAAGAGACCTGAGTGCCCAAGAACAGATGACTGGTTAAAGAAACTTTGGTACATCTACACAATGGAGTACTATGTGGCTCTTAGAAAAGATGAAGTCATGAACTTTACATATAAGTGGTACAATATGGAAAGTATCATGCTAAGCGAAATGAGTCAGAAAGAGAGGGATAGACATAGAAAGATAGCATTCATCTGGGGGATATAAAATAATAAAATATGAGATTAATACCCAAGAATAGCTGAGAGCAACACCAGGAGAATTACTCCATAACTTAGAGGCCAGCTGGGTATTCTAGGGGAAAGGACAATTCAGATAGAAAGGGGAACACCAAGTGGAGGGTGTTTGGAGGATCCTCCCAGGAGGGGAGATGCAGGTTGAAAGTAGACTGAACTGAACATGTTCGCCACTCAATGCCTCTTTGGCTGATCACAGCGCCCAGGAGGAGAGAGAGAACAGGGGGGAATGCCCTGCCACAGTGGCAGGGGGGGATGGGGGGATGGGAGGATGGGGGGGGAGGGATATTATCCTGGTGGTGGAAAATGGGCACTGGTGGAGGGATGGGTATTTGATCGTGGTATGACCGAGATCCAAGCACAAAAATTTGTAAATCTACAACTGTACCTCATGGTGTTTCACTAATAAAAAAGAAAAAAAAATTTTGAAAAAAAAAAACATCTGTTAGCATCATTAGAGTCCTTGAAAATATCATATTTAATAAGGAGCTTAGGAAAATATGGTAAATTTAGCATAGCTAAAGAATAGAATTTCCCAAGTAGGTAAAATTAATTCATCAGAAATTATCAGGCATTTAATGTAAGGAATAAATTGATTATAACTACATTAATTTCATGATAATACAAATGTAATTGTATATATATTAATCATAACTTACCATTTATGAAAATTGTCATAAATACTAAATTAAATGAATGTTAGTATTTACAAATGTCAATTTATCCTCATTTAATCCTCAGGACCTTCTGTAAAATATCTCTTATTAGTCCCACTTTATAGATGAGATAATTACATTTTAAAAGGGAAAGATTTCCACAGTTAAACATAGAGGGAAGCGCAAGCCACATTTGAATCCCAGGCACCTCTGATTCTGCAGTTCATCTGCTTAACAAATTCTATCCTGCTTATACCCACAGCCTTGTTTCAAAGGCTTTTTTAAGTGGACATGAAATTGTAAAAATTCACATGAGGCTTTGTGAAACTAGGATTCTAAACTAATCTGTTACCATTTTATTGATATTATATTTCATTTAAGTAATGACCATGTGTTGAAATATTGAAGGATTTTTATTTTAGTAAAATTGTAGTATCTTAACAAGGTTAAAGTTTATTTTTTATTGGGCATGGCATGAAAGAACTTCAAATGTAAGGGAAATTAAAGTCTAGTTTTGAAGGTATACGTCTATAAGAATAAAGCAAAAATCCATTGTTAAAATATGAATTACTCTGAAGCACCTATTTTCACTTCATATAAAGGTATGTGTATTCACTTTCTCTTAGGTGAGTGTAAATGTGATGACACGTGGTCCGGATGCATAATGGGAGACACTGGGTGAGCCACTTCTGTTTGAAAATAACTCTCTCTTTCCTACCCTGCTATGCTGCTGTCTTCTTACGAGTATGATGATTACTAGTGCTTGGATAAGTGCTTGAATTACTCACCACAGAGGGCTTAAAAGAAAACCCAAGGTAGATTTACTCAATGACTGCATATAAAATATTTTCACCAAATGGTTTGCTGTTTATAAAGCCAAATGATTGCATTTGGACTAGTAAAGCCAGGACCTGTTATGGAGTGAGGGAAATGCCATCCATTTTTGGTGAACTCAGCCAACAGTTTATAAACTGATTCAAGGGTCTGAGATTGCTCTGCCCTCATGGTACCAAGGGATTACTCAGGCCACACAGGTTCTGCTGGAGACCTCCAGGGTTGCACCAGCCTCTAACCACTGTACTGTGTTTCTGGACCCACAAAACTTGGGGTCTTGAGTCCAAGTTGAAAATTTTAGAAGTGAGGTAACAACTTTTTTTGATGGCTCACCTACTTTTACCCTCTTTCCTTAAAATTAAATGGGTTGTAAAGAGTGACATGCTGATAAACTGACGTTCATACACAAAAAATTAAAACAAGAGCTAGGAATTCTAGGTTTCTCAGCTATCCATACTGCAAACTTTCTCACAAGTGACTGATTTCAGCCAACCAATGGTGATTCCCCAGTGAGGAATAGGAGATGTGCACAGCAGCTCTTCTGAGAGAGGCATTTGTGTTTATATACCGAGCTACCCTCAGACAACATCAGCAGCACCAGCACTGTCATTTAATCCTTCAGGATGCATATTATAGTCATTTCATTCATACCAAGCATATCTACTACCAACTTAGTTTAAGATTTTATTATGTTGTGTTCTGATTTTTTGCTTGTTTGTTTGGGGGCCACACCCAGCAGTGCTCAGGGCTTACTCTTGTCTTTGCTCTCAGAAATTACTATTGAGGGAGGGGAAGTGTTGGAGATGGAAGCCAGTTGGCCTAGGCCAAGATAATCACCATTCTGAATGTAGTTCCTATCAGCTACAGGCTCTTTCTCCATGCTTTTACTTTACGTACTTAAGTTTCTTTGCATGTTTTGAGTTTATATGCAAAGCATCATTCTTTGGACTCAGTATTCAAAAATCAGCATTGTGAGTTCATACCACCTAACATGTGGGTTGAATTCATTGCATTTACTGTCTACAAAATGATTTCTCCATTCTGTTCTGAATACATTTGAATTTCTCTATGAAACATTAGGCATGACATTTTCCTGATCAAAATTTTTGTAAGCCTACATTGTCTAAAGAACTAAATTCATGGGCTGGAGACATAGTACAGCAGTCAAGGTGCTTGCCTGTATGAAGCCAATTTGTGTTTGTTTCTTAGCATCCCATATGTCCCCTGGAGTCCTATCAGGAGTGACCTCTGAGCACACATCCAGGAGTAAGTCCTGAGCACTGCAGGGTATAACCCAAAGACAAATGCAAAAATCAAAAAAGGATTTGTGCTCATTTCAATCTAATCTATTCAAACTGAGTTTGTTTATTATAAATTATACACAGGTTTTTATTTTTTTGTTTGCTAATCATAAAACAAAGAATGGATTTGTATGGATTTAAAACCTGGTAAAAGTTTGTTTTTACTATAGTCAGCCCTGAATTTTCAGCCTCTTTTGATTTCTTCAGTACGTTTGTTTTGATTTCTTCAATATGTTCATCTAAAGTTCTTATTTTTCTTTAACTAAAATTTAGTCATTAATTTTTTAGCTCACTGTTTTTGTTATTTACACATTCTTTTTTTTTATTAGTGAAACACCATGAGGTACAGTTGTAGGCTTACAAATTTTTGTGCTTGGGTTTCAGTTATAAATTGATCCAGTACCCATCCCTCCACCAGTGCCCATTCTCCATCATTTACATTTTTTTAAAAAATTTTTGTTAGTGAAACACCATGAGATACAGTTGTAGATTTGCAAACTTTTGTGCTTGGGTTTCCGTTGTACAATGATCGAGTGCCCATCCCTCCACCAGTCCCCATTCTCCCCCTCCACTAATCCCAGTATCCCACCCGCTCCCCTCACCCCCCACATCCCACCCTGCCTCTGTGGCAGGGTATTCCATTTTGTTCTCTCTCTCCTTTTGGGTGCTGTGGCCTGAAAAAGAGGCATCGAGTGGCAATCATGTTCGGTCAAGAGTCTACTTTCAGATCCTCCCAATACCCCCCATTTGGTGCTCCCTTCTACATCTGGGCTGCCTTTTCCCCTAGAGTGTGAAGCTGGCCTCCAAGCCATGGAGTAAACCTCCTGGTATTTACCTCAGCTATTCTTGGGTGTTGGTCTCCTATTTTGTTACTGTTCCCCAGATGAATGCAATCTTTCTATGTCTATCCCTCTCTTTCTGACTTATTTCATTTAGCATGGTACTTTCCATGTAGTACCACTTGTATGTAAATTTCATGACTTCATCTTTTCTGACAGCTACATAATATTCCATTGTGTAGATGTACCAAAGTTTCTTTAACCAGTCATCTGTTCTCAGGCACTCAGGTTTTTTCCAGATTCTAACTATTGTAAACAGTGCTGCAATGAACAGACAACTGCAGATGTTGCTTCAGCTATACTTCTTTGCCTCTCCGAGGTATATTCCCAGGGGTGGTATTGCTGGGTCAAATGGGAGTTCAATTTCTAGTTTTTTGAGAATTGTCCATACTGTTTTCCAGAAGGGTGGAACCAGTCGGCATTCCCACCAGTAGTGAAGGAGAGTCCCTTTCTTGCCACATCCACGCCAACACCTGTCATTAAATTTTAATGTAGTTTTGTATAACATCATGACTTTCTTTATCAATTAACTGTAAATTTCCAAGGATTATATCTTACTTTAATTTATATTTTTTCCTGGCCTCACACATAATTTCTTTTAAAAATTTTTTATTTACTTATTTAATTTTTGGTCTACTCCTGGCAATGCTCAAGGTTTGCTCCTGTCTCTGGGGTCAGTGATCACTTCTTATTGTGCTTGGGGATCATCTGGAGTGATGGGATTGAACCAGGTCAGCCATGTGGAAGGCAAATGCCCTACTGGCTATACTATCACCCTGTCCCCTCACATCATTATTTCTTGCGTAGACAATTTTTAATGAACATTTACTGTTTTTGAATTTTGAACTCTTATGGATGAGAAAGAAAACAAATGAAGTAATGAATATTGAAAACATTTTAAACATATCTTTCAAAATATCTTTGGATTGATTGTTAAGTAATTAGAGGGAATTTTAAAAAATCATGCTCTAAGTTGCAATTTTCTAATAATTATTAAACTTTATATTAGAGGTTCTTATATTTTTTGTTTTGATTTTGGTCCACGTGCAGCGGTGATCAATTTTTTTTTTTACTTCTCACTCTGCACTCAGAGATTACTCATGGTGTGGCTTGGAGGATAATGTGGGGTGCTAGGGGTCAATATTGTCAGCATCTTGCCCTCTGCACTATCTGTCTGTCCCCAGGTTCTTATCACTTCAAAGCTCTGTGGTATGCCTGACTATTCTAAATAGTGGTTAGAAAGCAAATTCATAGCATGCCTAGCTCTGAGAATAATCTGTAGCAAAATCAAATGGCTATCTGCAGATAGGCATAGCTTTTTGCATTAAAACACTATCAGAAAGATGTGTGACCAAAAGGAGAGAGATCAGAGAGAAATTGTCATAGAGGCAGGGTAGGGTTGGGATAGGGTGAGGTGGGGGAGCGGAGGGATAGCGGGGACTTAGGTGGTAGAAAATGTACACTGTGGAGGGATGGTTGTTTGATCATTGTATGACTGACACTCAAACATGAAAGTTTTGTCATTTTAGCTCACAGTGATTCAATAAAATAAATACATGAAGTTTTAAAAAATGCGTTAAAGAGCAAAGCACTTTACACAGAACATTATCTGCTGTGCTGTTACATATAATTAGATCTATAGTTTGATCTCCCATTTCTGCTCTCTGAAGTTATGTTGAACATTGAAAAGCATTCTTAATGTGATTCCCATGAATCCCATTTAAAGGCATAAGAATTAAAATTTTAAGAATGCACTGACTACGATCAATATGTTATATAGCAATACAAAAAAGTTTTGGGCCACAGTCTAGGAAGAGACATGAGCCTTCAGAATATCAGCCTTCAGGAAGGTTATGCACTATAGTACTGTTACAGAAATTAATCCGGATGCAGTTGCGACTGTTATAGGAAGTCTGATGTGGAACAGTGAAGGTAAGAGCAATCTACTCGTTTCAACTGTTCATCTATAAAAAGAATGTTCCTGTGAAGAGTGAGTTTCCTGTTACTGTCTCAACAAACTCAACTTGCAGAAATATAGCCAGCAGGAGACTCGATTGGCCTGAGACCTCTAATGTATCTTTGCAAGGCTGGGACTGAATTAGACTTTGACTTTGGAAAGCCCAAACTAAGGGAAACTTTCTATTTTGACTTTCAGGAACTTTCCCAAATTTCACCAGTGGAATAAAGAGGAACTTGAAGAAAGCAATTTTCTGTTGTTTTGGTTATTTTTGTTTCATTTTGTATTGAGGTCATACCCAGCAATACTCAGGGGTTACTTCTGGCTCTGCATTCAGGAATCACTCCTGGTGGGGCTTGGGTGACCATATGGGATGCTGGGGATTGAACCCAGATTGTCTGCACACAAGGCAATGTTCTTACTGTACTATCACTCTGGGTCCTAGAAAGCTACTTATATGTTTGTTTATTTTAATTAAATTTTTTGATAGAATCACCTTGAGATACACAGTTACAAAACTGTTCATGATCCGTTTTCAGTGATGCAATGATCCAACAACCCTTCCTCCTCTACCAGTGTCCACTTCCCACCACCAATGACCCCAGTTTCCCTTCCACCTCCCATGGCTCTATGGCAAGAACTTTCCTTCTCTCTCTCTCTCTCTCTCTCTCTCTCTCTCTCTCTCTCTCTCTCTCGACTCTATGTCTATAACACAGATACTGAGAGGTTATCCTGTTTGTTCCTTTACCCACTTTCAGCACGCAGTTCCTGTCCAGAATGATCATTTCCAACTATCTTTGTCATAATGGTTTGTTTTCTATCCCAACGGCCTTCTTCCCCAGCACTTGAAGCAGGCTTCCAACTGTGGACTAATCTTCCTTGCCCTTATTTCTACTATCCTTGGGTATTAGTCTCGTGTTATTATTATTTTTGATATTTCACAAATGAGTGCAATCATTCTATTCTGTCCTTCTTTTGACTCATTTCACTCAGCATGATATTCTCCATGACCAGCAGTTAAGAAAAATGAAGTCATAAAGTTTGCTTATAAATAGAAAGCTACTTTAAATTCCCTAATTCTATCTGAGAGATGTTTAACAGATTAAAATTGAAAACATTTTAAGGCTGAGGTCTACAGAAGTAGCCTGGAGTAGTAGAGCACATGGCTAGTAGGCATGAGACCTGAGTTTGATCCCTAGAACCACAGAGTGCTCTAGCATCAAATTAATTGTGGATTTTATTACTTTTGGGGTGGGGCACACCTAGCGATGCTCAGGTTTACTCTTGGCTTGGAGCTCAGGAATTACAAGGGACCATATGGATGCTGGGGATCAAACCCAGTCAGCAGCGTGCAAGGCAACTTCCCTAGTTTCTGTACTATCTCTCCAGCCCCGTGCTTTTTGGAAAATTGTAGTAGAGAAGGTAAAGTAATTCATCCTATTTAAATCTAAGGCAACTTATTTACAGAGTTTTGTACGAAACAGTTAAAAAATTAGCTTGATTAGCTAAGGTAAATGAGTCATCATTGTAAATTCCATTACTTGATTGGAGATTACAGTGCATTGATGACTGCATTTGGAAGAAGTAGGACTATTGATGAACATTGTCTTTGTACTCTAGTGAAAAAGAATTTAAATATTTATTTTAGAAAAATTACCATATTCTTATAAGTATATTTTATTTTTATGAAAGCTTGATACACATTTTTGAAACTGTAGGAAAAAATGCTAGATGCTTTTTTACTGTCTGGTGATAGCCATATTTTATATTAAATATTGCTGCTCATTATATTTTCTCTTTTCATTTTATTATTGTATATAACATTTGGGTACTCTTGGCTACTCACTTTTTAAACATTGACATTATGTAGCCCATGTTTTTTCTAAGTCATTTTTGTAAACAGCATAATTAGTAATAATTATGTGTTTATCTATTGTCTTAATATACAAAAACAGTTAAAATGTTTTGCTATTGAACAATTTGTTTATTTTTGTCATTTGTTGTGGGACCATAAATATCTTTGTTCATACATCTTTGAATGATTATATGTAGCTAACTATTCCCATAAGAAAAATTTCAAAAGGTAGAATTACTAGATGAAAGATGCTTCTTATTTTGCATATTCTTGATGCATCTTGCCAAATTGCTCCATAAAAGTTTCTTTTCTGTTGATCCTTTATTGCCCTTTTTTATATAATTTTTTTTTATTTTGAAACAATCTAAAACTTGAAGAAAAGTAGAAATAGTAACAAGTAGTCCATGTAATAAGTAATGAGTGACCTTAAATAAAATTGCTGATGTGGTGACCTCACCACCTCAGTATATATTTCTACGATCAAATACTTCCTCTACTTCCTCTAAAATATCTCAATACAGAGGCTGAAGAGTTGTTATAAGAGTTCGACACTTGCATGAATTTGGTCTGGTCTTGATCCCCAGCACCACCAAGAGTGACCACTGAGCCCAGAACCATGAGTAGCCCCTGAGCAAAGAATGGCAATATAACCAATAAAATCATACTTAGATTTCATGTCAGTTTTATCCTGTGTTTCAATTTCAAACTATTTCAGGCATCACATTTCATTTTATGTCCACTTTCTCTCTAGTTGTGCAGTATTTTTCACTTTGATGATGATGACACTGATTATAGATCAGCTGTTTTATCCAGTGCTGTAAAGTTTGGGTTCCATCTCAGTTTAAATATTTAGAAAGACTTTCTAAGGAATGTTACTCTTTTATTTGATCAGAATTATACTGTGTAAGTTGCTTCCTTTGAATATGGATATAAATTATAAAATTATGAGCATCCCATATTAATTATCAGTCATCGAATACAATATTTGAATAAATTTTTATATATTGAATGAAAACGTTGTACTTAAGTGAAATTATGTTGTTTTTAAGAATAATGTACAATTTTGAGTAATGTGTACTTTTAAGACTATAGTACAAATAAGCAAGACTGTCACTATTGCTTTTCTTCTTTCTCATAGCTATTACCTTCCCAAAAAGTTCACCCAGTGTAATATTGAAGAATATCATGACTTTCTGAATAGTGGAGGTGGTGCTTGCCTTTTCAACAAACCTTCTAAGGTAATAAGTATGATCACAATCTTAGTAAGATTTCTGAAGTATTATAAATGTAATACATTTCCAGTCTTTGGGTATGGAAATATATTACATTTATAAACATACTAAATCTTTATTTTCAAAGTCAGTTTGAATTTGGTTTATTCTGATGTCAGTAGAAACATGGTAAAAAAATAAGAGTTTACTTTCTGAAACTTTTTATTCCTACGTGACTAAATGATGGTTCAAGATTTGCTTGTCTAAACATGTTTGTTTGAGTTTATATTTAATTTTCTTTCAGAAGTTGTTGTTTTTTAATTTCTACTCCTACATAATGTAGAAGAGGGACTTACCTCCTGATACCCTCATTATACCACCATAATACTTCCTTTCAGAATGAGCAACATGATTAAAATTACAAGTACCTTTCAACAAGAAACCAACTGTACTCAGCATTATTTCTCCATAATGTCTTCATTAGAGGCCTTACAAACTAGCAGAGCATCTTCTGGTCATCACTGAAAAAACAGATCTTCCTCTGTGTGTGAATTAAAAGGATGCTTTGCCCATATTAGTTATGTTTCCATGTATCATCAGCGATATGTGGCATTGTCCTTGTTATCATTTGCTTGTTTTCATTCTCTCGTCACTCAAGTGAAACTTAAGGAACATATCATATTGCACTGAAAAGCAAATGGACAATTTAAACATCTTTCCAGGTTTCAGGAGTGATCTTTGAACTAAAATTACCTGCTATAAATGAAAAACAGCATAAATATTTTGCTAAAATAATTGATTATTCTTAATGTAGCGTAAAGAATAAATGTAGTTTTGGTATGTGAGTATTATAGTCTTTCATTTTGAAGCTGAATCATCAGTTGTTCTCAACTGAAAATGAAATACAGAGATGAGTTGATATATAGAAGAGATAATATTAAAATTAGGTGAATATTTCACGATCATCACTGTTACTCTTTTCTTTTCTCTTCTCTTTCCTTGTTGGGCTGGAGTGAATAACAAAGTAACAAGGATATTTATGATTGAGTTTCAGGAGTATATTTGGACATCAATCCCTTCATCAGTGCCTATTACTCTCTATCAATGTCCCCAGTTTCCCTTCTACCCTTCAGTCTACCTCTATGGCAGGCACACTTCCCATCCCTAAGATCCTACCCAGCACAAACTTCCTACTGATAACCAGTTCTCCTGCTCTTTGCTTCTATTGTAGGGCATTTGCTATTTCTCTACAAAGTGATTTTTGCTTTTTTCTGATGGGAGGCCTCCCAGCAGTGCTCAGGAGGTCTAAGTCCCTGTGATTCTTGGCCAAAGATGCTGGTCTGAGAATATGGTGTTGCTTGTGCCCCAGGAACCAGGGTACCTCGGCCACCTAAGTAGTGACTCAAAGGCCTCCAAGTCTTCACTAAGCCATGCTGTGGGACAATGACATTCTGGATATTGAGCTGGGATCAGCTGAATACAAGGCCTTTTAGCCACTGTATTACCCCTCCAGTTCATGTTACTTTATTTTGTTCCCCCCTCCAGTTAAGAAATGCAAAGGGGCGGAGAGATAATACATAGTTAAAAGATTTGCCTTGCATCCTGCTGGCCCCAATTTGATCCCTGGAATTGAGTCCCTAAGCACTGCCGGGAATGAACCCCAAGCATAGAGCAAGAAGTAATCCCTGAGCTCTGCTGGGTATGGCCCAGTTCCTCCCCCCACCCCAAAAGAAATCTGTTGATACGTATATGTTACCTTCCATTCTATAATATGCAAACTTTGCTCAACTTCTTAATAAATATTATATATAAAACCTAGCAACTGATTACTATTTTCTAATGTATCACAACCAGATATACTCAAAAGGTACCAAAATTGTTGTAAAGCATTTAAAATGTACTTGTGTAAGGATAAAATGTGCTTCAATCTGTGGGAAATGTCCTCTGTAAAGTTATGTTAATAGGAATAATACTTTGCATTAAATATATCAATGGATTCATTAGTTTTTGTGTTTCCTTCAGTGTCTGTGAAAGTAGACATTTCAGTTCCTGTTCTACAAGGGAAAGACAGTAAAGATCTTTTCACAAATGAATTAACTCGATCCTCACAATTTGTGATTTTTGTTTTAATATGCAAACACTTGGGCTCTGAAATGACAGATCATTTTCCTGAGAGAAGTAGGTGGGCAGATATTTGAACCCAGAGTTTATGACTCTAGAACCCTTGCTTCCTTGTTTGCAGTGCCCTTTGAGGAATCAGACTGGCTTGGTTTGGGGCCATGGCAAGAGCCTTCTTTATTTTGGTGGCATTTACCAGACCCTGCTTGATATGTGTGTTGTATATGTAAAGAGGATTCCATCTGCAGTGGATACTGAAGTGGATACTTCTAAAGTCCCGAAATCTAAAGCCCTGCTTTCTCACTCAGGGGAATAATAGCAGACAGACCTTCCAGATGTGTAGGTGTGGCTCCTATAGACACTTATTAGGTCTTTGATGTCGATGTTTTGATGTTTGAGTTCCCTTTTTGATTTTCATCCCACAGCTTCTTGATCCTCCTGAATGCGGCAATGGCTTCATTGAAACTGGAGAGGAGTGTGACTGTGGGACTCCAGCAGTAAGTCTTTGGGTTTTTGAGGAGGTTTTTCAGATTACCCAGATTCATTCCAGTTCCCCGCACTGAGACACACAGAGGTAGTGTTATGCTTGGGCATTGTGTAAGAGTTGTGGAAGAGCTATTATTATTGTAAAGGTGTGCAGTTAATTTAGAAAACATCCTGGTACTCTCAGCAAAACTATACAATTTCCTGATGTTTTTGCATCTGTTTTTACTCCATAGGAATGCGTCCTGGAAGGAGCAGAGTGTTGTAAGAAATGTACTTTGACTCAGGACTCTCAATGCAGTGATGGTCTTTGTTGTAAAAAGTGCAAGGTAAAGAACTGTAGTTCATGACTAATCAATAGAAAAGAAACTCTGTTCCATTGATTCATTAAGGCTAATGAAATATAATCTAATAAAAACACTAGTATCTAACATATGTTATTCACCAAGTGCTACCTATGTTGTGGGATGATCACAGACTTGTGAGTTATAGTTATTCTTTTTGTCTTCTGACATGAAAACACAGAGACTTGTAGTGATTAATGAGTTTTTCTAGGGTATTTCACCAAGAAAGTCGGGAGTTAGGTAGGTGTGAGTCCTGATAACCTTCAGAGCTTGTCCTATGCCTGCCGCCTCTCTAAGGAATTCCCAAATGAATTTAAGCTTTGTGTTCTTTCATTATAAAGCTAAGTGTATATTCAATTTGAAAATTTTCTCCTTTTCTTGCTACTCACTTTTGTGTCCTCTTTTATTTATTTTGGGGTGGGGGAGCTTCTCAGCAATGTTCAGGGATGCCGAAGTGGACTTCTGGCAATAGTTGGTCAGTTGGGCTGGATAGTCTGATGCTTACTAGACTAATGATAGTTTAATGCAGCTGCAATGTTGCTCTTGCCCTGTGACAACCAGAGTACCAGGAACACCCTAGTGGTTTTCAGGGACTCTAATGCTACATATTGCAGTGCTGAGAGGGGAGTCAGGTTGGGATCTCATGCATGCAAGGCCTTTGCTTAGCCTTTGAACTATCTCCCCAGCTCATAGTTTGGAATATCTCTTGCATTAGCTGTTGTAAGAGTCAAAGGAATAGGTTTACACTTGATACCACATTATATATAATGTAGGTGAGAGTTTAGAATGCATCTGTATGTATGTTATAGATGTTTATCATCCCAAAAGCATCTCATATCTGTTTCTGAATAGTTAAGGCTTTATCTCAAGACTAATAGTTATTTAGGGTTTACCTCTCTCAAATTAACCTATTTCTCTCTCAAATTAACCTCTCTTCTATGAAACCTGATAAATCTCCCTGTTTTTCCCCTAGTTTTTATTTTTGGTCTCTCCCTCCTGTCTCTACATGTTATGGAAACAGAGCCAGAGGTACCCACACAGTTATTGTCAGTAGATTCTAAGTACATGTTGAATAAATGATAATATGCTCATAAGTATCTTACCGGTTATCTTTTGGTTGACACACAGTCTGTCAAGTAAAGGGAGAATGTAATTGTCTGAATCTATCATTTAAGGTATCCATGGTGTGTCAGAGATTGTTCTAAGCACTTTACACTTACATTAACCCTGGGTTCATAGCCCTAACATTGTTGACCATTGTGAGCAAATATGCCTTTGTTGTAAGAGTACATCTCATACAGTGTCTAGCAGCATCCCTGTCTCCTACCTAAGATGAAGGCAGTACCCCTCCTACTCACAACCAGAAAAGATTCCATACATGTCTCCTAAGGTCATTGTCCAAGCTAATGCCCAGAACCACTATTTTAGCATAGGTGTTATTATCTTGATCGTTACAACTGAGCAATCTGTCTAAAGGAATTGAGGAGAGCCTTCAGAGGCCCACTCAGCTAGTGAGGAAAAGATGAGCAGTTAGAGTCCAGATCTGCTCACAGGAAGTTCTGTTGTTTCAACTTTACAACTCTGTTCTCAGGAGATTTTTATCTCTCTCTCTCTCTCTCCTTTTTTTTTTTTTTTTTTGCTTTTTGGGTCACACTGGCAATGCACAGCGAATACTACTGGCTCTGCACTCAGGAATTACTCCTGGCGTTGCTCCGATGACCATATGGGATGCTGGGAATCAAACCCGGGTTGGCCACATGCAAGGCAAACGCCCTACCCTACCCAGCCCCTCAGCAGTTTTTTAAGGACAAATGAGCTATTGATAGAAAACACACTCTCTGAGAAGGAAGTATAAGATATGTCAAATATGAAATAGGTGTTCACCTTTGGGATACCTCAATTATACATTTGTTTTGTTTTCCACCACAGTTTTCATGGCAAGGGATTCCCAATATTTTATTTTATTTTTGATCTTTAAATCGATTCCTCCATAAAGATATTTAACAAGGCCATATTTTCCCTTTGATTTATGATGTTAGACTCTATAATATAGAGGAACAAGTACAAAATAATATTGCTAAATAACAGGAAAAAATGTATGATTAGTTTTTCTGCAAAGTAAATTTCAAGATCTTTTTAGTTCTTCCTCCACAGCCCTACCTCTAGCCTCTACCTTGGGCTCCTGGAGAAGGCAGAGGCAGGGTAATGAATGGAGGAGGGAAACTGAAGAGGAGGATAAAAATGATCTGTATTTCTGTTTCCCTCCATATATTATAATAGTGCATATAAGTCACTCTCGTCAAACTCTTTCTGTAAAGGGGCAGATAGTAAATAAATAGGATTTGTCTAGGTCAGAAAGTCTCTGTCTCAGTTAACTCAGTCTTTAGTAGGATCATAAATACAGAAACAAATGATTATGGCTGTGCTCTAATCAAACACTTTATTGGGACCCAGAAAGATAGTACAGGAGTTAAGGCACTTTCCTTGCAAGCAGCAGACTCTGGTTTGGGCCCTTGCAGCACAGGTGTTCCCTTGAGGACTGCCAGGAGTGATTCCTAAACTGGAGTCAGTGTAAGCTCTGAGCACTGCTGATGTGGCTCATGTCTCCCCAACACCCCCCACCCCCCACCCCAGCTCCCTCACCACAAAAGAGCTTTATTGACAAAAACAGGTGTCTGGTCAAATCTTGTCCTCAAGCCACAGATTGTTAAAAAGGAACAAAAGGCCCTTATCTACTTGCTTTGTATTTTTCTTCTTGCATCAGCATACAGATTCCAAGAGGGCAGGGAGCTTGTTTAGTTTATCTGCTGCAGTTTCCCAGCACTTAGAGCAAATTGCTCTTTGCTGCACTTTCAGAAGTTTCCTGGCAGTTCTCTAACATTTCATGTACTTCAGAAGTGCCCAGATTTATTTGGTCCACCAACCTCTTTTCAGTAATAAAAAATCACTCCATGCATCTCTGGAAATCTACCTCCTTAAGAAAAAAAAATGCCAAAACCAGAAAGTGCTCCCTTGTTACCCTGGAAGCTACTATTGGCCCTCCCCACCCCAACACTCCAGAGCATCCACATCGTGAAACGCTAGCCTACATTGTTTTTAGGTCTGTCTTAAATCTCTTCATATTTTAATTTCTGATGCTCCAACATTGTGGCTGGCCCCAGTTCTGATGAAGACAATATAAACATATTACCTTGCATATGACCTGATTTCTTTTTTGTTGTTATTGTTCTTTTTACCCCAACCAAAACACAAGGCCCTTGCAAGCAGGACATCTAGATTTTGTTGTTTGTTAAGTTCTCTATGCTTAGAAAGTGCTTATGTTTTTAAATGCCCAGTGTGTTCCTCATGAAAGATTGAAGTTTATTTGCATCTTCTAAAAAACTATCTGTTGAGATCCCAGTTTTGGAAAGGAAAAGAAGGAGGCGGGGTGGGGAGCTCAATTTTTTATATTTTATTTTGTTGTTGTTATTAAAATAAGTATGCTTGCAATTATAAATTCAGTGCTTAAAATTTTTTCAGACTCAAGACAATGGGCTAGAGCAATTGTTTGTATGCAGGAAGCCCTGATCGGATCCCTGGCACTATGTGGCTCCCTGGGCATTACTAGGAGTAACCTCTGAGTGCAGTTAGGAGTAAACCCCAAGCATTCTTTGGTGTGCCCCAAAATCCAAAAATTAAAAAAAAATTACTATAAAAATTCAGTGGCCTGAATGATAGTACAGTGGGCAGGGCTTTTACCTTGCATGCTACTAACCTGAGGTCAATCCCTGGCACCCCAGGTGGTCTCCCAAGCACCACCAGGAGTGAGCCCTGAATACAGAGCAAGGAGTAAGCCCTAAGTACTGTTAGGCATCACCCAAAAAGCAAAAACAGAAAGCTTATTTGTTCTCTATTTGAAATGAGTGAAAGCAAACTATCCCATACAGCAGTGCAAATAATAGAAACATTAGAAAATAATGAAAGACCAAATTGTAGATCTATAAAATTGACCCAGGAGAAAAGGAAAGAAGGAAATTGCTTTGCCAGAGAACCTAACTTTTGCAATTTTGCCCACAATGCAACTTGCACAATTCTTGGCAGAGTATGTTAAAAAAAAAAAAAGAGTAATATGAGCCCAAAATTACAGTGGCCAAGAACAGTGATCCTTTTGTGGGGGAGGGAATTCTTGAAACCTTCTCTTCGGAGACCCTGGCTCATTGCCCAAATTCTTTGAGGAAGTGTCAAGAGTTGTGGTTCTAGAGATGGCTACTTGGCGAGTTACATGATTCCTGTCAAAAGCATTATTGACTCTGCAAGGTCTCGCTGTTCAGGTCTGGTGAGAGCTAATGGAACTTTCTGGCCATACCCCTGGACCTCACGATGCACCTGATGGAGAGAAGGGAGGGCGATGAGCTAAATCATGGTCTCCAAGATACAAGAATGTGTCCCAAATTCTGGACAAGATGACAGGGGATGTAGCATAATAATAATAGCACTGCAGCACTGTCCTCCCATTGTTCATTGATTTACTCCAGCGGGCACCAGTAATGTCTCCATTGTGAGACTTGTTACTGTGTTTGGCATATCAAATATGCCATGGGGAGCTTGCTTGGCTTTGCCATGTGGGCGGGATACTCTCTGGAGCTTGCCAGGCTCTCCGAGAGGGCTGGAAGTATCGAATCCGGGTCGGATTTACAAGGCAAAGGCCCTACCCACTGTGCTATCGCTCCAGACCGAATAATAATAACAACAATAATAAGTGTAAGGGGCAAAAAAGAGAAGTCAGTATATTGCTGGACTACAGTCCCAGAAATATCTGGATTCCCTGGAGGTTGAAGAAAGGACTACCTCTTTTATTGGCATAGAAGAGGTAAAGACTATATGCCAATCTGAAAAATGAAAGCCTTGTGTCTGGGGACAGAAAGTCTGGAGAATGAAAAGGAGACCCTGCAGAGTAATTTACAATGCTTGTTTTCTTTTTTTTTTTTAATGGATCACCATGGGGTACAGTTACAGACTTACAAATTTTCGTGCTTATGCTTCAGTCATACAATGATCTAGTGCCCATCCCTCCACCAGTGCCGCCTGTTCTCCACTACCAGTGTTCCCAGTATCCCTCCCATTCCCCCCTCCCACCGTAACTTCAGTCTTGGATAAATGCCAAAGGGAAGTGACTTCTTCCCAATAAGGTTCTGGCCTGTGACTCCAATAGCGCTGCTTTAACAAGGAGGATGTGATGAATATTTATTTACTTGGTCTCTGACTCTGACTCTCTCTGTCTCTGTCTCTCTGTCTCTGTCTCTCTCTCTCTTTCTCTCTCTCTCTCTCTCACACACACACACACGCACACACGCACAACACTCATTTCTAGGAGATGAAAATGGTGGTTTACTTGTCTTAAGAATAAAGGATAAAATATAATGCAGAAGCTATTTGGAATAAAGAATTAATTTATACTAACTTGCCTTTTGGCAGGTGTCGTACCCCCAAGTAAGCTGAATGGAATATATGGTTTGCTCTGTGCAAGAGAGACTCTGAGAACTACTTTCACGAAACTGGTTTCACAGATTAAGAATATTCAGTTTGCTTTTTTCTTTTTCATTTTCTGTGTTTGCACCATATCCCTTCATACTTGGAGGCTACTCCTGGCTCTATGCTTGGGGGAGACCAGGAGTGCTGGGGAAGGAGCCTGGGTCTCCTGTGTGCAGAACATGTTCTCGGCCCACTGGGGCATCTCTCTCACTCTCACCCCCATTTCACTTTTTTAAAATATGATTCTTTGTAAAATCATGCAATTTTCCTCACCATGGATGAAGCTAGAGTGAAGTCAGCCAGAAGGAAAGAGATAGATACAGAATGTTCTCACATGTGGGACTTAAGGACACACAACAAGGTAGCAACAAAAGACCAAAGACATCATAATGAGAAGGTTGTTCCCAGCAAATGAGGTGGTGCAGGGGATTGAAAGGGAGAGGCATTGGGGTTCTGGGAAAGGGAAGTGGGTTAACTGGTGGTGGGTATTGGAATTATACACATGCGAAACCATCATTAATATTGTAAATCACAGAACTTCAATTTTTTTCTTCTTTTTTAATTTTTATTAGTGAGACACCATGAGTTACAATTGTAGACTTAGAAATTTTGTGCTTGGGTTTCAATTATACAATGATCAAATACCCATCCCTCCACCAGTGCCCATTTCCCACCACCACGGATCCCAGTATCCCTCCCACCTCCCTTCCTCCCCATCCCACCTTGCCTCTGTGGCAGGGCATTCCCTTTTGTTCTCTCTCTCTCTCTTATTGGGTGTTGTGGTTTGCAAAAGAGGCAATGGGTGACAATCATGTTTGGTCTATAGTCTACTTTCAGCATGCTTCTCCCATTCTGGGAGGATCCTCCCAACACCCTTTATTAGAACTTCAATTTTTTAAGGTTCTTTTAGAAAGATGGTTGTTTTTCTTTGACAGTTTTTTTCATGCTTTTTGTTAACTTTAGTTTCAGCCTATGGGAACTGTGTGCCGAGAAGCTGTCAATGATTGTGATATTCATGAAACATGCTCAGGAAATTCAAGCCAGGTAATTTATTTAATTTTTAAGGTAGTTCACAATATTTGATTACATTTAATATTCAAACACAAATCCCACCACCATTACACCTTCCCATCACCATATTTGGGATGTTTCCATCCCAAACACCAATCCCTGTCCCAAAGCAAAACCGAAGTAATATATTTTGTATTGTTTGTTATGAAAAAACTGCTGAAAATACTGCAAAAAATTATCCATAGAGGAAAGAACGTGAAGATTGTTCTAACTTAACAGGGGCCAGAAGACATTTTATAAGATATCACTAACATGTTGTTAAAGGTTGAGCCTTGTAACTTTTGTGTATGTATGTGTATATATATATAACATATATGTATGAACACAAGTGGACAAAGTGTTTTTGATATATGTATATATTTCCCTCTATGATTTGTTGCTTATTATTTGAACCCCATCAAATGTGGTGCGGTACACTTGGAGTGTGGGTAGGATGTGTCTTATGATGATTTGCAGCCTTGTGGTCCAGGAATAGGTTCACTTGTGTGTGAGGCTCCGCCCAAGCGTGTGGGAAGCAGCTTTGAGCATGGCGGCCGTTGGGGTTTGGAGGTTTTCGGCTGCTGGGGCTGGGTTGTTGGGGCGGGGAGGGCTCTCTGGGGCAGCCTGAGTAAAACAGATTGGCACAAGGTCCAGTGGCATGGCTATGGTGAGCGTCATTTCAAGCCAGGTAATATAAAGAATAAACCATCAGGATAAAAAGTAGTGTCATCTTAAGTGCATTTACAACACCATCTCCACTCCTGTAAAATATAAATGGATGGATGTTCCTGTCCTTCACAGAAGCTTAGTCTACTTTTTTTCCCCCAGCTACTTAAGTTTCAATATTTAAAGCACGAGCAGATGTTCTGCATAATTTTTTGTCATAATGTTGAACAAACCTAAGAAACGTGTATGTCTTATCTATTTTGGTTTTATTTAAAAAGAGGAAGAAAAGCATTTATCTAATTTGTGAAGGAGCAAACAAAAAGAAGCCACCAGCCAATCTAAACAGGAGCCAGGCAAGGCAGTGAGACCCACGGAGCACCGGGACTTCGAGAAGGGACCCATCCTTTGTTTTGATTCCAGTTTATATACCACAGCCTGCATCTCGCCATTGGCAACTACTCTGATTTAGCTATAAAGAGAGGAGATGAGAGAGTCGGTAAAGTTTATGGGGATCCAGAGATTTCACAGGGCCTGTGTGTAGACCCTTGCTTTTCATGATGATTTTCATGATGGTTCAGGACCATAAGCTGCCATGCAAGCTGAAGTTGTACAGTCATCTTAGCACTTGGTGGGAAAACTATCTGTGTCACTTCGGTGACAAAAACTATTTGTCACTAGTAAAAATTCATAATGTTGATCTGAAATAGGGAATTTTAAAATATGAATGAATATCACTAAAAGAAGGTATCAAGAATTGCAGCATCCTCATTTATTTGTAAAATACTTAGTTTGAAATGTGCATGGCTTCTTCTTACTGTGAACCTTAAACCTAGTAAGCATCTTTTCTGTGCCCTATTGAATTTCCATTCTTCTTTCTACACTTGGGTTAACTTTCCACATTTTATCCCCATTTGCTTTTAATGTCATAAAATATCTCCAAGATATGTGAGGAAAGAAGTGTGAAGCAGTGTTTTGGGGGTTTTGCTGAAAAGCAGTATCAGCATTCCCAAAGTCAGCAACTTTTTTTAGATTCTAATTTCAGTGCCCTGGCCAGCCAACCTCCCTCCTTCCCTCCCATCCCTTTTTTCCTTCCTTCCTTCCTTCCTTCCTTCCTTCCTTCCTTCCTTCCTTCCTTCTTTCCTTCCTTCCTTCCTTCCTTCTCTCCTTCTCTCCCTAGCAGCCAGTTCCCTTTTATTATTAAGTTTTGTAAAATGTCGCATGCTGCCACCCACAGAGACAATAAAAGTCCACTCTTTGCTCTGTATAGGAATAGTTATTATTAGGGTACTAATAATAACTATTCAATAGTCATAAAATTATATTATCTATTTAAACAGTTTTATTTTAAAGGTAGTTATCTTTCATGTAAAAAGTATTTTCTTTTACTATCTGATCAACATTGTTTTTTAAGGTAACTCTTATTGACATTAAGGATGCAGTAATAACTATAATGGCTTCTGCAGGAAAAGTGTGAATATACAATAAGCAAGAATTTGAAAATAATTCTAAACCCAAAAAGTGAAGCACATACGAACATGCTCTTGTTATATCAGTTGTAGCAGCATAAACTGAGATAACTATAGTGAGTAGATAATTATAAGTGAATACAGTTAGCACAATGGTTATGTGGTTTGTTAGCTCCATTTGATGTTTTATAGCTTTTTAAGATGGTATCTACAATGACCTAAGAAAGTTCATATGTAAAAGTAAATGAAAGAAGCAGAACATAAAACACTGTAGGTAATTTGATTATTCCTATATTTAAAAATACCAAAATTTGTAGAAAAAGTAGAGAAAATTGTGCCTAAGTCTAATAACAGTTATTTTGGGTGGTGGAAAAATGAATTTTATTTTATTCTGCTTTTACTTTTCTACATTTCTTTTTTCAAATGAGAAAATGAAGGAACATGTATAATAAATTAAAATTTACTCTCTGTCATAGCTATGCAAAGAGCTTTTCAGTTTTCTAAGTTGCTCCCAAATGACAAAAAGGGACTAGATAACATGGCTTTTTTCTAACATGCTTTTATGTACTTTTTTCTAATAGCGGCATAGTTCTGCTCAAGAATAATTTTAAGTATAAGCACTATATTAATTCTCGTTTGGGGGGAAAGCCAACTACGATTTTCTCTATTGGTCCATCTCTGTTGGTGTCCTCCTTTCTTTTATGCTCTTGGTTCTCTTGCTCTGAGGAATAGCATATTAGCTGACTCTTTACTGACAGTTCTTTTAATGTTTTCCGATGTAATCAACTGCTCTTCTCCTCTGATAGATCCATATTTTGATAGAAAGTGTGCCTTATTGTGTTTTCATTTGCTTTTTCTTGATCATTTTGTATTCTTCAAGTGTTTTAAGAGACTAACCATATTATCAAACTTCTTTAAAATAAAAAAAATGAAATAAAAAGGATTAGTTCAGCCATTGGGCTACACTAGCACGTGACAGGGACAAATGGAAACGTTACTGGCGCCCACTCGAGCAAATCGACAACTAACGGGAAGTTAAGTGATTAAGTAAGTGATTAAGTTCAGCCGGACATTTTTTCTATGCATTTCTTTGATAGTTCTTTCTTTTTCCCTAGTGTGCCCCAAATATTCATAAAATGGATGGATATTCATGTGATGGTGTTCAGGTAGATTGATTCATATTTACCTAAATATTTCACACGTGCCACCTGGAATGAAATCGGGGCTTGGGCTGTGGCTCAAGTGGCTGAGCACATGTTTTTTTCATGGGCTTGGATCAACATCCTGAGCTGGGGGTGGGGATGGGTAGGTGATTGTCACGAGTTTTTAAAAAGCCATTGTGGGTGCTTCAACAAAAAACCATTAAGGCTGGGGAAATAGAGTGGGTAGGAAGTTTGCCTGGCATACAGCAGACCTGGGTTTGATCCCTGCCACCACATATGGTCTTCTGAGTACTGCCAAGAGTGATCCCTGAGCTCAGAGCCAGAAGTAACTCCTAAGCTCAGTCAGGTGTTCCCCCCATCCTAATAACCCACCATAATATTAACAGCTAGGAAGTTTTAGACTCAATTCTAGAGCAGAAAGGCTCTAGAATGATACCCTCTATTAGATTTTATTGCAAATATCTGATTTAAGCAAGCAATATTTGCTAATGAGTATGTTTTTCAATTTTAGGGAATTTGCTTTGGTGGAAGATGCAAAACCAGGGATAGACAATGCAAATACATCTGGGGGCAAAGTAAGTAGATAGTGTGATCATTTTTAAGAGGAAGTGTACAGCCAACTTCTTAAGGATACAAGTTGGAAAAAAAATTTTGACTACTTCTTGATTGTGGGGATTCTCAAGTGCACTTTTGTATAGATTAGAGAAATCCAAATCTTTGGAGATGAAGCCCTGTACATTTTGGTATAATGTAAGCTATAATCATTAAACTTAAGAATGTGTCTGTTAAAGGGGCAGACCGAAGGGTGGCAGTATTGGTGGAGGGAAATTGACACTGGTGGTCAGACTGGTATTGGTATGCTTGAAACTCTCATGAACACATTTATAAAATCATGGTGCCTACGTGATGTTTTATTTGAAAAAAAAAAAAAAGAAGAACTGGTAAACAAGAAATTGTTCCATTTGAGAACACCTGATAAGACAGAATGATAATGCTATAATGGAAAAGAATCCATAAATTTTTGATCTCATATTGTATTCCATACTGACAGAAAACTCCATTTTGTTTCAGAGGTGGTTGCTTCAGACAGATACTGCTATGAGAAATTAAATATTGAAGGCACCGAGAAGGGCAACTGTGGGAAAAACAAAGACACGTGGATACAGTGCAACAAACGGTGAGATGGAGAATTCATCCTCAATTAACTATAAATTTTAACTTATTTTTGGCTGGAGTGATAGCACAGCGGTAGGGCATTTGCCTTGTGTGAAGCCAGCCCAGCTGAGCCGGGTTCGATTTCTCTGTCCCTCTTGGCGAGCCCGCCAAGCTACCGAGAGTATCTCGCCTGTGTGGCAAAACCTGGCAAGCTACCCATGATATATTCAATATGCCAAACACAGTAACAAGTCTCAAAATGGAAACGTTACTGGGCCCGCTTGAGCAAAAATCGATGAACAACGGGAGGACAGTGTTTATTTTACTTTTGTTTTGTCTGGGGACTCTGTCCAGCAGTACTCGGGACTTGCCTCTTTTGCTGTGGTGCTCAGGGTACCTTATGCAGTGGCAAGAATAGAACTAGGATCAATCATATGCCCCTGTACTATGCCTCTAGCCTCTATTAGTAGTACTTTTTTTTATGGAGGAGGGCCAGGAGGTACTCTGGACTTACTTCTGGCTCTGCACTTAGGGATCACTCCTGGTGGGACTCAGGGGATCATATGGGATACCAGAGATCAAACTAGGTCATCGGTGTACAAGGCAAGCCCCTTACCTGCTGTACTATTGCATCACCTATTGACTGACCGCAATCTTCCTGTTGTCTGCATCCCCCAGAACATCCCATGACCTATTAACATTTCTACCTAGTGTTTTAGTGTCCCCTTTCCAGAAAGCTACAAATATTAACATACATTGAACATCTCTTCCTTTTTAAAATTTATTTATTCATTTTTTATTAATTCACTGTGAGGTACAGTAACAAACACCCATCCCTTCACCAGTGCACCATTTTCCATCACAAAAATCCCCGCTATCTGCCCCCCCCCATTCCACACCTTCCCCTGCCTATGTGGCAAAGAATTTGCAAAATACTCTGTCTCTACTTTAGTTACCTTCGATATTTTGAGACCAGGCCTACCACCCCTCATACCTGCCAAAAATGCAATGCTAGACAATGTGTTTCATATTGTTTATTATGGATATAATATAATGTAGTGTGGCTGTGAGACCATGTGCCCTAAGAATTCTAAAATTTTAATAATTAGGGTCTGAAGAAATCACTGCAGCAAGTTGCTCAGGTCTGAGATTTGTTTCTGTGTTTCTGGATCGTGGCCGTGTGGGAGCTTAAGTAGACTGTGGGCGGATGTGACATTATCTCAGAATCTCATTGGGACTGGGGAAAGGAGAAGGGCCCACTCCTTCCTTTGTTCAAGAGACTTGGGATTTGCTGTAACAGCAACTCATACCTGGAGCTTCTTGCTGGCCTCTAGAAAATGGCAGCCTGCCGGACCTCCTAAAGGACAGGCGGAGGGACAACACTTTCTCCCACTGGAGAGGGCTTATTGCAAGATCCCAGGCCATCTCTACCACAAGTTGCTCGAGTCTAAGATTCATCAGTGTGTCTCTGAACATCTCTTTTAAGGCCCAGGTCCTGATTGCAACTTTCTTAGGAATTTCTTACCTACGTCCTAGTATTTCAGAAGCAACTATGTTAAAGCCAGTGGGTTCGAAGCTCTGTATTATTGAATTAAATAACTGGCTCTGATTTTTCCTACCAGTTTTGCCGAAGTCTTAGTAATCTCACTACCCTTCTATTCAGAAGCTGCACAGTGATCCTTCACTATCCCTCCCCTTTGCACATTGTGCAAGCATTACATAGTGTCCAACATTCCCTCTGCTTCCTCATTATGCATCTTTAATTCATCCCTTTATTTCTAGGCTGATTGCATTACCACAACTAAGATTGATCATTATCTAATAGATTATTACAACAAAAACGTTCTTAACAGCTTACTATGCCAACAGTCAGCGGGATGCTACCACCAAAATAATGTTCTGGGGCCCAGGAAGAGAGAAAGAGTGTGGGGGTAAGGTGTTTGCATTGTATATGGTCTACGTTGGTTCAATCCCTGACACCATATATGGTCCCACAAGCATCACCAAGAGTAACCCCAGAGAACAAAGGCAAGAGTTAAGCCCTGAGCACTGCTGGACCAAATCCCCTCCAAAAAACCCAGAAAAATTAAATTAATGTTCTGTTGAATATTTTTGACTATACAATTTTTAAAATAATTTGTTTTATTAATTAGTCATAATAATTAAGTATATAAAATATTCTTATAATTTTTAAAACTATACTGGTTTGCTATTTTTTTTTTTTTTTTTGGTTTGCTATTTTTTTAGAATAAGAACTAAAGTGAATAATTGGTACTCTTTGCACCCAGGGATGTGCTTTGTGGCTACCTTTTATGTACCAATGTTGGTAACATTCCAAGGCTTGGAGAACTTGATGGTGAAATCACGTCTACATTGGTCGTGCAACAGGGACGAACATTAAACTGCAGGTAAGTCTCTATTTGATGAGAAAGTGATCTTCTGAAAATTTACTCCAGATTCTTCTGTATTCAGTTCATTTATATGTTAATATGCCCAAATCTAATCGAGTCCATCAAGGTGAAGGAGTTCATCCTGATAAAAAAGAAATAAAAAGAAGATATAAGGTGGGAAGATAGTACAGTGATTAGGGCACATATCTGGAAGCACTCAACATGAACTTGATTCCTGCGCCACATGGTCCCTGAGCATCTCCAGGTGCTTCCCTAGAGACCCTCAGCACCACCAGTGCATCCCATATACCCCCAGCATCACAGGACCCGAGCACCATCACATCTTCAAGTCCTTGAGCTGAACTGAGAATGGTTGATGGGGCTCCTATCTCTTGAACACATTTGTGAGAGTCCTACCCCCACCTTCACACACATAAAAAAAGACACAAATTAGTTAAATGTAGACTACTGTTTGTTGAAATTATGTGCAATAGGTCAATAAAATATTATGTTTTTATTCATGTTTTATTTTTATGATGGATAATGAATGAGGATTTCCTGGTAAAAAATCAGTGTATTAAATGTATGCATCTTCTTTTCTGAAGATTTTCTTACAATACATTAAGTGTATGTATCTTCTTTTCTAAAATTCTACCATAGTGACAGTAAATATTTCTTATTTAGATTTCAAATACCTGGGAGCAGACATATAAAGCAAGAAAAGACAGTTTAAAAATATGTTTGGATCTTGAAAATCAAACTAGTATGTAACAAATAATTATCAAAGCCTAATAAAATTTTGTTCCTAACTTAATAATGGGGAAAACTGAGACTCAACCCAATATATTCTGTCAGTTTCCCAAATACTCAAATATTGGCAAATACCATCGGAACAGAGAATAAAGAATTAGAGGGTAGAAAAGAGACAAAAATAAAGAAAATAGAGGAAAGTCTCAAATAAACTGCTGGATCCCAGATTTCTTTTGATACTTAGCTATGCTGGGGCTGTTCATACTTCCACAGAAGATTTGAGCTTTATATTCTGTAGAGAATAAGACAGATTTCCAAACTAATGGAATGTAAACTCTATGTTTCAGGGTTATGTGAAAGTAATCTGCCTTGTTGATGTGTATGAGAATGCCCTAGAATTTCCAATTACCTATCTTCTACCTCTAATCAAATATGAACATTGTTATAGGGGAGGTCTGGAGCAATAGCACAGGGGGTAGGGCATTTGCCTTGTATGCGGAAATCCCGGCCATCCCGAGTTCGATTCCTCCGCCCCTTTCAGAGAACCTGGCAAGCTACTGAGAGTATCTCGCCTGCACAGTAAAGCCTGGCAAGCTACCTGTGACATATTCAGTATGCCAAACACAGTAACAACAAGGTCTTGCAATGGAGACGTTACTGGGCCCGCTCAAGCAAATCGATGAACAATAGGAGGACAGTGTGACAGTTACAGGGGAAGAGTTTCTAACATGAAAAAGAGTTAAAGCACTTAATGGAAGTGCCACAACTCCTATCACAACTTTAAGAGATAAGAAACAAGAATAGAGTGTTCTTTTTTAAAATGAGGAACATTCGGAGAAGAAGAAAATGCTGCTGGAAATTTAATGACAGAAATTAAACTCATAGTTAAAATTATCTTCCAGAAAGTAGGGCAAAGAAGACAAAGAAAAATTGCACAGAAATTACCAAGAATAGAAATAATAAAGAACAGAGAAAACAATAGGGAGTAACTTGAGCATTGTCTAAAACAGAAGGACTTCAATGTCCATATTAAGAGATTCACCAAATACCAGCACAGTAAGTGAAAATAGAAGCACATTTTCATATGTCCTATGAGATTTCAGAACCTCAGGTAAGAAAAACACACACAACAGATTTTCAGAGACTAGGGAAAGAGAATCAGACATTAGCATGGCTTAGGTTCTGTCAGGGGCTGGAGCGATAGCACAGCGGGAGGGCGTTTGCCTTGCATGCAGCCAACATGGCCGACCTGAATTCGATTCCTCCGCCCCTCTCAGAGAGCCCGGCAAGCTACCGAGATTATCTCCCCTGCACAGCAAAGCCTGGCAAGCTACCCATGATGTATTCGATATGCCAAACACAGTAACTACAAAGTCTCCAATGCAGACGTTACTGGGCCCGCTCGAGCAAATCGATGAAAAACGGGAGGACAGTGACAGTGACAGGTTCCGTCAGCAAGAACCCTGGGAGCCAGATACATGGAGAAAATGATTTCCACGCTAGAATTCCAGGGAATGCAGAGATATTTCAGAGGCCTGGAGCACATGATTTACTTGTGGGATACCTGGATCTACTCCCTGACACTGTGTTTTTACCTGAGCACCTTTCCAGGAGCAGCCTCTGGGCACCATCAGGTATCTTTCTCAGCATCATCTCTGCCCCCACGCTGCCAATGATATCTCCCCACAAAGCCCTCAATTAAATGTGAGGGTAGAAAATAGATACTTTCAGACAAGTTTGCCCCAAATTTGCTTCTCTATCCTTTTCCTGTGGAATTTGCCCAGGGAGGAGCAAACTAAGACAGGGAATTTAGGAAAGAAGACCCCAACATGGAGAGAGGAAGAACAATTCTCAGTGAATGTTGAGGGGAAGTGCATCATGAACACTATAGCAGGCCCAGGAGACGACCTCTGTGGACAGGAGCAGAAGATGCTGGATTCACACTCCCGGAAGGATTCCACAGGAAGAGCAACAGATGTCCAGGCATCTTCCGAGTAGAGTCAGTAGATATGGATTAGCATATGATATCATCATATGCTCCTGGAAAAGTAACTCAAAAAAAAAAAACAAATCAGAGATTTCCCAATCTCATACTAAATGAAATGTTATACAGCCATACTCTCTTGCTCAGCTGAAGAACATTTCAGTCTTAATGTATATATTCTTAATTAACTTAGCAATTAATTAAACAAAATTTATGGAAGGGTAAAGGTAAAAAAGGTAAAGGCCCTCCTGTTGATCGTCGATTTGCTCGAGCGGGCCCAGTAACGTCTCCATTGGAGACTTTGTTGTTACTGTGTCTGGCATATCGAATACGTCACGGGGAGCTTGCCAGGCTCTGCCGTGTGGGCGAGATACTCTCGGTAGCTTGCTGGGCTCTCCGAGAGGGGCGGAGGAATCAAACTCGGGTCAGCCATGTTGGCTGCATGCAAGGCAAACATCAGGAAGTATGGCAGCAGATTGTTGCATTTCTAAAAATAATATCAGTTTGACTCTCTATACATGAAGGGAACAGAGAGCTAGTGCAGTGGATAGGGATAGAGATAGGCATTGTCTTGCATACAGCTGACGCGGGTTAAGTGCCCAGCACCACATATGGTCTCCCAAGCCCACTAGGAGTGATTCCTGAGTACAGAGCCAGGAGTAAACCCTGAGTACCCCCTGTAAAAACCTAGGTGCATGCATGATTTTGATAAACTTTAAGCAATAAAAGGTATGGAGCTCTTTGTAGTAGTATTTACATGGCATCTTGTGAATAAGTCGATTATAAATATACATTTCCTTTTTCTATCTTGTTTATTTTTAAATTTTAATTAATTTATTTATTTTTGCTTTTTGGGTCACATCTGGCCATGCACAGGGGTTCCTCCTGGCTCTACACTCAGGAGTTACTCCTGGCGGTGTTCGGGGGACCATAATGATGCTGGGAATCGAACCCGTGTTAGCCGTGTGCAAGGCAAACACCCTACCCGCTGTGCTATTGCTCTAGCCCCCTATCCTGTTTATTTTTATTTCTAAACAATATATGAACTTTCTATATTAAATAGTAAAATTACAATAGCCTAACAATTCTCAGATGTAATTTGTAAAGATAGCAGTCTTCATGGAAATCTAAACCATATATCTCATTTCTCATTCAAAAATTCAAAATCTGCTTGAAATCTTGAAACCTCCTTGCATATCAAATCAAATAATAGTAGAATTATTTACTTGATTTTTTTCATGATAGATGAGGTAAAATGATAGCCCAACTCAGAGCCTTGTTATAATAACTAGATTAAAATTGGTAGACATGGAAGCATCCTTGAAAAGAATAAGATCAAAGGATTTTATTGTGTTCTCCATTCAGGTTGAAAGTACTTAAACTTACCTGCTTCTTTTTTATTAGATAAAAAAGAAAATATAAACAGTGACATAGCCTATTTTTTAAAAATCTGTAAAGCATGAGTTGAATGTAAATGAATGAAATCTATTTCTCTCCCTTGTTTTTAGTGGTGGGCACGTTAAGCTTGAGGAAGATGTAGATCTTGGCTATGTGGAAGATGGCACACCTTGTGGCCCTCAAATGATGTGCTTAGAGCACAGATGTCTTCCTGTAGCTGCCTTCAACTTTAGCACTTGCTTAAGCAATAAAGAAGGTGCTGTTTGTTCAGGAAATGGAGTAAGTATTATTCCTTGTCTTAGATAAATCTATCTTATCACAAAACGATATTATTTTAAATATTTATTTTTATAATCATGGTAAATATGCTTTATTCCTGGATTTTTTGTAAATAGTTATTTGATCATTGCCACTAGAATATTTCATTTGTATAATTAACAAACCTGAGAATATATGTATAGCATATATATATGAACATTATGTGTACAAATGTGTATATTTGTACATATATTCAAACAAAACTCTTTCATTCTACTTTTTTTATGCTAATGCTATCTTATATGATGCCAATTTTATACAAGTGAGGCAGGAGAAAAAAATTTTTGTTTTGTTTTTGGTTCACATACCTGGGTCTTCCACATGCAAGACAAATGAGTGCCCTGCCTGCTGTACTATATCTGTGGCTCATGGAGAAAAATTTTAAACTATTATGAGATACAGAAAGGAGTAAAAAGTAGGGATATTGACCACAATAATTACTAACATGGTCTAGAATATTCTGAACATATGATGAAAACAGACTATCACTGGCCTCTATAATCATACAAGAGTGTCACAGCTGAGGGTGACTCTTAGAAATAAAAACAGTAATTTTGAGAAATATTTATCTCTGTGACTAGAGAAAAAATGACATTGTTTAAAATTATTTTCCTCAGTTCCATATCTGATCATCTAGGTCCTCTGTAAATAAGGCTAGAATTTAAATAAAAGTGTTCTGCTTGCACATGATTATAAGGTTTGTGGTTTTCAGTTAATAATTCTTATACCTGCAAAAATTTTTTTGATTTGTTTTCTTTTGGCCTGCTATGATAATTTTTTCCCCTCATTCCAGATTCTTTTCTTGAATTGCTTATCTTTCCCAGTTTGAGGTAGAAATCCCGGTTTTGAAATTGCAAACTTGTAATCCTGATCACTTTATTTATATCTCTGAGGAATATGTCAACAATCTCCTTGGTAGGGGCTGGAGCAATAGCACAGTGGGTATGGTGTTTACCTTGACAAGGTTTGATTCCCAGCATCCCATATGGTTCCCCAAGAACCACCAGGGGTAATTCCTGAGTGCATGAGCCAGAGTAACCCCTGAGCATTGCCAGGTGTAACCCAAAGAGAAAAAAAAAATCCTTGGATAACTCATATTTTTTTCTTTTTTCTTTTGGTTTTGTTTTGTTTTATGAGTCATAACCGGTGGTACTTGGGGCTTACTCCTCACTCTTCACTCAGGGATTGTTTCCCGTGAGCTCAAGAGACCAAACGGGATGCCAGTGATTGAACCCAGGTCATCCACATGTGAGGCAAGCACCCTGCCTGCTCTACTGTTGCTCTGGCCTGTCACTGTTTTTCTCCACTAATAAATAGGACTTGTCTTACAACATATAAGAAAAAAGAGACATTTATTGCTCAGTTATGTTCCTATACAGGGAGTCTGCTAAGTCTTCTTTCTTAAATCATTAATGGGATCCCCAACATTGAATCTTAATTCATTAATGGGATCCCGGGTGGCCGGGGTATTGTGGTCACTGCAGGGCCCCAGCACCTTGACATCCTCTAGCCCTTGCATTGAACCACTAGCCCTGTTGACTGAGAATTTTCAGCGGGGCTCTTGGGGCTCCTGAGCACTGCTGGGGGGTCTGTCCCCATCTCCAAAACCTAAAATAATTAAGGGGATGTTAGGAGGAAATTCTTTTATAGTGGGGTACAGGAGAGTGTAAGGACAATTAAATATGATTTACTGATTTTTGCTAATAAATATCTTGTTCCTGTAAAAGCCCTGTGTATATAGTAGAGGCCAGGCATGGTTGTTTACACTTTTTGCTTAGTGAATGAATAAAAGAGCTACAGAAACAAGTTGTAGGCAGACAACATCCAAACATTTAAAATAAGTAAACACATTATAAAGAAGGTATATGCTATATAATTTTTGGGACATACCCTGTAGTATTTGGGATATACTTTGTCTTGGTGCTAAGGCCCAGTCTTAGCAGTGCTAAGGAAGCCATGTGGTGCTAGGGATTGAACCCAGATCTCCCACAGGCGAAGTGTGTGATTCGGCCTTTTTTATGATTTCCCTGACCTCTCAGTGATTTAACTCTGTGTGTGAATAATGAGAATAAAGTAGATATTCTCCATGTCGTTTACATGAAATGGTGAAGGTGTAGACATGACACTTGCTCCATGTGGTTGCTGAGTGCCTGGGAAATGATGAGATAAATACAAAATTTATGCTGGATTCAGAACACTTAAAAGTACAAAATGGCTTACTGTATTGTTTTATATTTATTACAGGTTGAAATGACTAATTGGAATAGAATAGGATAAAGAAAATAGATTCAGTGGGGAAAAACACAAGTGAGCTTAGCTATCTAGCTAAAATCAAGTGAACTAAGTAACTGGGTAAATTATTAAGCATTTCTATGCATCTGTTTCTTTGTTTTATTGTTGCTATACTGTTCATGTCACTATGTCACTCCTGTATAATATGGAATCTGATGCTTAGAAAATCCAAGTGGCCTGATTAGGGTCCACACACAGTTGGGAAATGGAGACCCAAACCTAGATTTTTTTTTTGTAGGAGTATTGCTATTTATTCAGCCATTGATTAGGCTGATTGAATTGGGCATGAACTCAACCTTGCCTTATTTTTCCTTTTTTATAATTTTATTTATTGAATCACCGTGAGAGCAGTTACAAAGCTTTCAGGTTTAAGTCTGGGTCATACAATGAAACACCCATCCCTTCACCAGTGCCCATTTTCCATCACTGAAAACCCCAGTATATCCCCCATCCCACACCCTCCCCCTACCTGTGGGGCAGATGATTTCTACATTACTCTCTCTCTCTACTTTGATTACATTCAATATTTTGACACCAGACCCACCATTATTTTTTGGAATTTTACCCCAACACTCAGACCTGCTGAAAAGGCAACATTAGACAATTTGTTTTCTATTGCTGGTTATGAATAACATAAGATGTCCATGGCCACTACTGTGAGTTTGTAATTCTGAAATTTTAATGATTAAATCTGGAGAGATTTATGCCAAAACCTGCTGGGTTCTGAGATTTGTTCCTGAGTCTCTGGGATCATAGCCATAAGCAGCTTGATCAGGAGCCAGAGAGGCTGTTTGTGGGCAGCGACTTGGGGTCTTGTTGGGGTGGGGAGGAAAGGGCCCGCTCCACCCCCATCCCATGAGGCTCCACATATTTCATCACTGTGGGCCCAAAGCTGACTGTCCAGTGGTCTTTGGAGGATGGTAGTCACTGAGCCACCAAGAGGGAATAGGTGGAGGGACAACACCCTTTCCCCCACTGGGGTGGCCCAGCGGCAGTAACCTACTGCGGGGTCTGGACGCATTTCTGCTAAAAGCTGCTGGATTTCAAGATTTGTGTTTGATTTTCTGTGATCATGGCCGTTAAGCAGTTCGATCAGGAACCAGAGAGGCCTTGCCTCCAATCATATAGCTGAGCTGGAGGTCATTTGTGGGTGTGTATCCCACATACCTAACTTTTGGCTGTTTACTTTCTTGGTAAACTTTGCCCCAAAATTTTTGGGGTCTGGCCAAAGGCACAGTAGCAGTTTTGGGGTGTGTGGAAGTCTGATGGCGCCATCAGGTTCCTGATGCACTCGCCTCACAGGTACAGATTGACCTGCTGGCGGCACCATAAGCTTACCAAACCTAGATTTTTTTTTTACTTTGAGCCTGCATCTTTATTTTTTTCTCCATATTTTTCCATATGCACAACTTTGTAAATATGAACTAGTTAAAAACCTGTAAATATTTTACCCATATATGTCTTTTTTTTTTTTTAGGATTTACTGTATTTTCTTTTCTTTTTTTTTAATTTTTATTAGTGAAACACCATGAGGTACAGTTGTAGACTTTCAAATTTTTGTGCTTGGGTTTTAGTTATACAATGATTGAGTACCCATCCCTCCACCAGTGCCCATTCCCCACCTCCCAATGCTACCAGCATCCCTCCCACCACCCTACTCCCCTATCCCACCCCACCCCTGTGGCAGGGCATTCCCTTTTGTTCTCTCTCTCCTTTTGCATGCTGTGGTTTGCAAAAGAGGCATTGAGTGGCAATCTTGTTTGGTCTATAGATGCATTTCAGAATGCATCTCTCATCATGGGAGGATCCTCCCAACACCCTTTACTTGATGCTCCCCCTCTCTGTCTGAGCTGCCTTCTCCCTCAGCATGTGCGGCTGGCCTCCAAGTCAGAAAGAGAGGGACAGACATAGAAAGATTGTGTTCATATCGGGAATATAAAGTAACAAAATGGGAGACTAAAACCCAAGAATAGCCAAGATAAGTACCAGGAGGTTTACCCATATATGTCTTTTTGGGGTTTGAGTCACATCCGTTCTCAGGGCTTTCTCCTGGCTGTGTGCTCAGGGATCACTCTTGATAGTGCTGAAGGACCATATGGGGTGCGAGGAAATCAAATCCAGGTCAGTCATGGGCAAGGCAAGCACCCCACCTGCTGTTCTGACCTATTTACTCCATATTTTATAGTAACATTTGATGTAGACTATATCATCTACTAGCAAAAAATAAGTGAGGCTGAAGAAAGAAACCCATCTAATGAGAAGCCTTCTTCCTACAGAACTTTTCTGCTCTTAAAACTACTAAAAAGTTCTCCCCTGCTGTCTGTTCCTTTCAAAGTTATTTTGGAAAACATTGAGATACAGGTTCTGTTCATGAATGTATAAATGAAGACTGATCATTTGATATAACTTATTAAAATATGGTGACATTCTTATGTGATTTCCCCATCTTCCCCCAAACACACACCCAAAGTTTTGTTTGAGGAAGTCCTTAGTTCCCATGACCCTGAAGTAGCTAATTTCTAGCTTAGATTGAGGAGTGCTAACTTTTAACTGTGTAATGCCTTCTTAAACTACACCAACGCATAAGGTATCTCCTCTTCTTTGTTGGATTTTTCTTTTTTTTCTCTGGTTCTTAAAAGATAAATAAAATTTTGAGATAAAAGTTCTTTCTTTGGAAGAAAAAATTATTTGTACTGGATAATTGGCAAATGATTGTATTTCTACTTAGTGTTTGAAATCTTGCTGTTTCCAAGTTTAAGTTGATACACTTTCAAACAATTATTTCACTGATGTTTTAGACATTATAAATTAATTCTTCTGTTAAAATTTATTCTCATTGGGTGGATTTGGGTGAATCAGTCTCTAGAAAATGTTTTTTGAATACTTGTGTAAGAAATAATTAGTATTAGGAAGATAGTATTTCAAAAAATAAGTTTCAGTCATCAACTTATTGGTCTATAATAATTAGAAATTACTGTTTGCATTTTATGCCACTGTAACAGAGAGTTAACATCTACTCTGGACTGGTTTTGGATTTCAGGTCTGCAGCAATGAGCTGAAATGTGTGTGTCACAGAAACTGGATCGGTGCAGACTGCAGTACTTACTTCCCTCTCGATGATACAAAGAATGACTTAATTCTATCTGGCAATGGTAGGTACTTCATTTTGCACCCCTTTGTTCTGAATTCACATGAAAGAGACAAATTGCCCCCCAGGATTTTTAAAAATTATTATTTAAAAAACTCATTTAAATTCATTCCTTATAATAATGAATTACAGTAAGGATATGAAATATTGGTTATAACTTGATCTGCTGATTTAATCTTATCTTGTCCTATATCAAACGGATTTTTTCAAATATATTTATTGTTTGGGACTCAAAGTTGTTTTTTTTTCCAATACCAGGTTGCAAACCCACGGACCTCACACATGTAAGGAAAGCACTCTACTACTGAGCTAGCTACCCCTAGCTCTCCTGGCATTTTTTTAATCAAGAAAGTAGCTAATAATTATTAATTGTCTAAAGTTGTAGTATGAATTTTATAATATAGGGCTGAAAATAATGAAAATTAAAAAATTGATTTTTAAATCACATTATCTATTACCTATACAACCCCAGTTGTATAGACTAAATTGAATGTAGTTCTAGAAGTAGAATGGCCAAAATGCTGGAAAGGGTTTAGGACAAAAAGAAACAAAAAATGAAAGTTTTAGTATGTGTGTGTTTATGTGTGTGTGTGTGTGTGTGTGTTTGTGTTTGGGGGTGTACTCTGTGTTACTCAAGGGTTATTTATGGTTCTGTGTTCAGGAGTGAATCCTAGCTGTGCTTGACTGCCTGTGAGACAAGTGCCTTACCTCTGGTATAATCTCTCTGGCTCCTAAATAATAAAGGTTTTCAAAACTAGAGTCCTAATAGAGAAGTTCAATGGAGATAGTTGAAGGAAGACATACCTTGGAAATAAATGTCCCCTTTAAAACTGATTTATCATTTTATTAATGAGTATTCTTTTGCTCTAAATAAAGCTCAGATCCTAAAGTCAGCTCATCTCTAGCAGATGAGCAAAAGAACATACTTATTAACATCATCAAGATAAGTTAAAAATCTTAGTCAATGTGACATTATTAAAGTAAGACATGGAAAGATTAAGAATTTGTCATCACCAGTCTTAGTACAGGCACTGTGAAACTTATTCCAGCATTTAACAGAGATGACGCTATTTAGGTCCATAGATTCAATTAAATTGTCACATTTCATACCATTACTTAAAAATTATGACAATAAGCATCTAGGTTTATTGGTTCTTATTTAAATTCTTGGGAGTAAAGGAAGACAGATGTGTTAAGTCTCTTAGAGTCGGAAATTTCTAGTGTCCCAGACTCAAATGGTATCTGTTCCCAAGGGCAACCTGAGTAGGGAGGGGTCCACCAATCTCATCAGACCTCCCCTGACCTTCATACACAACCAAGACTTCAAAACAGAGACTTCAGGGGACCAAGGACATTATACTGCTTGGGCCCTGTGGTTCCAGAGATCACCTGACAACATCCCACCAGCTCCCTCCCTCCACACCCGTGGTACTGGGGTTCTCCATGACCACTCTTAGTGGTGCTCAGGGGCACCATGTGGTGCTGGGAAATCTAACCAGATCAGGTTTATGCAAAGCATGTGCCTTAACCACTATACTATCTCCTGGCACCTAAACAATTGGTTTTCTGAAGGAATGTTAAGTGAAAAAGAGTTGCATAGCAATCTACATACTCATCAAACTATACCCAAAGTTCTGCAACCATGGTTCTGCAACCATGGTTCTGCAACCAGGTTCTACTTAAAGAAATTTCAGCATCAAAGAGTTCATCCTGAAACATTTTCATTGAACTTGGCAATTATTCAGACCAAACTATAAAGTATTTCATATTAAAATAAACAACAGATGTTTAAAAGAAACCAGTTTGTCCTGGATCTAAATTATAGCCTAGGGGTCAGTAAATAAGAGGAGCTAAAGGTCTACAGTAAGGAACCATAGGAACTAAAGCTGATGAGGATGAGGCATGGAATGTGTACCTCGTGTCAAAAAAGTGAGAGAAGATGAAATCAGTGTTGACTCTAGGACAGTATTTGAAACACAGAAAGTGAGTTTTAGATAGACATTTTGTAAACAGAAAGACTTTTTTTAAAAAAATTTTTATTAGTGAGACATCATGAGGTACAGTTGTAGACTTACGGATTTTTGTGCTTGGATTTCAATTATACAATGATAAAATACCCATCCCTCTACCAGTGCCCATTTCCCACCACCACGGATCCCAGCATCCCTCCCACCCCCCATCCCCCCCATCCCACCCTGCCTCTGTGGCAGGGCATTCCCTTTTGTTCTCTCTCTCCTTTTGTGTGCTGTGGTTTGCAAAAGAGGCATTGAGTGGCAATCATGTTTGGCCTATAGTCTACTTTCAGCATGCTTCTCCCATCCTGGGAGGATCCTCCCAATACTCTTTATTTGGTGCTCCCTTCTCTATCTGAGCTCCCTTTTCCCCTAGCATGTGTGACTGGCCTCCAAGTCATGGAGTAAAATTCCTGGTACTAATCTCAGCCATTCTTGGGTGTTAGTCCCCTATTTTGTTGCTTTATATTCCCCAGATGAATGCAATCGGAAAGACATTTTTTTAAAAGCCTTTTAGAACAATTGCGTTTTAAAATTTTTATTTAAGTAGAGGCTAGTGGATACTAAGTTTATTTGATAATTTTTGGGGGGAGGGGTACATCCAGTGATGTTCAGGGGTTACTACTGGCTCTGTACTCAGGAATCACTCCTAGTAGTACTTGGGAGACCATATGGGATGAGAGGGCTTGAACCCAGGTCAGCAGTGTGCAAGGCAAATGCTTTGCCTGCTGTACTATATCTCTCCGGCCTAGCCTTGAGAATTTTTTGAAACACTGAATAAAAATCCTAGTCTAATAAGATCCTACAAAGTAATCAATAAAAAAACTAACACATGTATACATGTAGAGAGACATCTTGGAATATAATGGATCAGAACAATATGTTTTCCAGAAATTCTAAAAGGTAGCTTGAAATGCACATAGATTTCTCAAAGTTTCTTCCCAAAGCAGTGCTATCCCAATGCAGTAGTATTGTACCTCTCCACCCCCCCCCCTTATTTTCCTTGCCTTCTTTGACTTCATCATATTTTGGAAAGATATAATCTGGAAAATATAACTGTATAAAAATATACTTGTACAAAAACAAAAAGGAAAAATATATGAGGAAGTGTTTTTTAAAAATTGATGTGGGGAGCTGGAGGGATAGTAAGGTGGGTAAGACACTTGCCTTCACCTGGCCAACTCTGGTTCAATCCCAGCACCTCCCTGAGTACAGAGCCAGGGGTAAGCCCTGAGCACTGTGGAATGGTCCATTGAAAAAAAGAAATACAGAACATTAGAGTTGATTTTTCTTTCTTCTAAAAAATACCATTGTATTGTTGTGAGAAAGGAGCCCTCATACACTGTTGGTGGGAATCTCATCTGATTCAGTCTCTATGGAAACCAATATGGATATCTCTCAAAAAATAGGAATAGAACTCCCATTCAACCCAGAGATACTACTTCTTGGCATCTATGCTCAAACACAAATGTTAATTCAAAAGTATATATGCACACATATGTTCATCACAGCACTTAGTACAATATGGAAACAATGAAAATGTCCAATTATGGTTGAATGGATTAAGAAGTTATGGTACTTAAAGATACACAGTAAAGTAGAAACAAAGGGTTAAAAGTAACACAATGAAAGAATTGGTGCAAAAACCTGAGTTTGTTGTGAAGGTTGTGGGGTGGGCAGGATGGGTGCTGTAGAGGATCGCAAAGGCAGGGGTTGGGAACCGTGGGTGGGGGGAGGTGATGGATATGGTGGCGAAATTATATGTATGGGAAACCACCACTAACAATATTATAAATCACAGTATTTCAAATCAGTAATTAGAAGTTAACAAAATATATAATACCCATTAGGGCCAGGGATGTGACTCATCAGTAAAATGTATGCATCACATATTTGAGGAACTGGTGTGATCCCTAGAACTACAATCATTATGTTGTATCTTGAAACTACACCAATTATATCACATAAAGATATTAACATATTAAGGGATTTCTGAAATTAAAATACATAAAAGACAATACCCACCTTAATATGTAATGTTCATCTCATAATTATAAAGCTAGAGAGCAAAGTTCCTGAAATAACTTTATACCAAAGTTATAAATGCACTGATCCTCACTGTTTATTTCTTTCCCTTAGGTGTTGCTGGTACCAATATCATAATAGGCATAATTGCTGGCACTATTTTGGTGCTGGCCCTCATATTAGGAATAACTGCTTGGGGTTATAAGTAAGTGAACTTTCTCCATATTCTTATTGTCAAAATATATTTTGAAATATTTAATTTAAGTGAAACATCTAGGAAATTTTATGCTATTGAGTAAAAATACTTCCAATGAAAAATCAGTTTTGGCACATGATTCAGTTCATCTAAATTGTGAATCAGTCTAAATTATTCTCAATCAGTCTAAACCTTCTCTTATGCAGACACGTATTTATTCACTTCTTGGTGGCCTGGGTTCTTATGAGTTAAACTCTACCCAGAAACTTAAGCAGGAGAGTCGCTCAGAGTACTCAGTGCTTTTCTCCCCACAGAACAACTAATACCACACAGACAGCAGCAGCCATCTCTCCTGATGTTTGCTAGGACTGTCCTCTCACGCAGGGCAAAACAAACTTCTTCATCTTCTCAACCAGTATGAAGGAAACTCTGTGATTTGTTAAGTATATGGGTGTTTTGCACAAAGAAAAACTTTTCAGAGATTTAATGTTTGTAAAATTTAAAAGTAAACTCCAGGTTAAGACCTTTAGTGGCCTTTTTATTTGGAAAGCTTTAAAATATAACTTACAATTTCTGGTTTCTGTTAGTAAATTTTAGAAAGTTGTAAATGTGAGAACTTTTGAATGGTATCTTCTTAAGCACTTAGCTTAGTAAATGGCTTTAAGCATTGACACTTACTTAGACAATATGTTCAGTTTTTTTTAATATAAACGTGAAAATACCCTTAGAATTAAAATTATTTAATTTTAAGAAATTAAAACCAAAATATGATGAGCCTTAAATTTTCAAGTAATTAAACTTATCATAGTTTGTTCATGTCTGAGGATGATGTTTTAGGACTGGCTTAGGGTCTTTTCCATTTGAAAGGTTTTTGTTAGCTTTTTTCATTCCATTTTCTCCCCACTCCACTTTTAGACCAAGTATATTTCACACACACACACAAAAAATTCCAATCTTTATATATTTTTTTGATTTCTTCAAACCTTTCAGGAGAATATACTATACAATTATTATATTTTATTTAATCAACTGACATGATTTAATAAAATATAATAATGATTTTGGAAATGATTTTAAAAGTGTATTTGGTGGTTGCTAGTCCTGAAGTCAAACCCTGCAAGAGTTTCTTTGACTTTCAGGATATATGTTATAGACTCCAAACATTAAAATATAGAAAGTTAACAGATAGCACAGTGTAATGAAGTAGTTCATAACATAGTGAAGGGGACCTCAGAGCAGTAGTAATAGCTTATCTTAATTAAATAAGTAAGTCTCTTAATTAAGTAAGTCTCTAGCCCTACACTCCTCATTAAAAAATGCTCAGTATTGATTGGCCTCCTGGTCCAGTCATAAAGTATAGTGCACACATTTGCACAAGCTGAGTTTTGTGTATTTGGAGTCAGGAAGTTCTGTGTTTGAAGGGAAGGCTTTTCAGTATATCTATCATTTGATTTCTCCTGACTCTAGGTAAATTAGTTCTATCTTGAAGTCACACTCTTTGTTCAGCTCCCTGATACAAGACTTAATGTAGCAATTAAGCTTCACTGTTTTGCAGTAGCTTGGTGGCTTTCTCTAGATGTGAAATGGAAAGGAAATTCTTAGGTTGTATTGGATTTTTCCCACCACCTATGGAAGCAAAGTTGCTATTTTATTTTTACAAACTTGAAAATATCTTGATCCTTAAATACCCATTGCTTATGAAAGTGCTTGCATTCATTTTTTTAATAATTAAAAATCAAAGTACTTCTTTATGTATAATGAGCACAGCGGTAGGGTGTTTGCCTTGCATGCAGCCAGCCTGGCCGAACCAGGTTGGATTCCTCTGCCCCTCTCGGAGAGCCCAGCAAGCTACCGAGAGTATCTCGCCCATGAGGCAATGCCAGACACAGTAACAAGTCTCAAAATGGAGAAGTTACTGGGCCCCCTCGAACGAAATTGATGAACAATGGGAGGACAGTCATTCATTCATTCATTCATTCTGTTTCTTAATTTAACATATTCTTTTGTGGTTTTCACTTTTGTAAAAAATTTCTGAATACATGTACTATGCCAATTAAGGAAAAAGACAAATCTTGCCCAAACTGCAGGTTCTCTTCATAAATAATTTGAACCTAAATGATAAAAGTTTTAATAGTACTAAAAGATTAAGAATGTGGTTAAAAATAGAATGAGAATATAGAAATATTAATACAGGAATGAAATGTGAGAATATGATATTTTACATATTCTATTTGAAAATCAAAAGTGGATTTCAGACCAGAGAATTATTTTTCTCATTAACTATTTTAATTAAACTTTCTGCCCTTTCTTCAGTTTTTTGGTGTGGGAGAATAGCAGTAATAAGGAATGAGGAATACCCATTTGAAACTTGTGTTCTGCTCAGCTAATTAGGCTGAAAGAATAAAAGGCAGAACATGTAGAGAATAGAGATTCTGAGTTTATTTGTTGCCCTTATTTGATGCTTTCAGTAGTGAAAAATAAGTAACAAATAGGCATTTTTACTTTCATGAGCTCATATTAAACATGTCAGAGAAATCCTGAAATTGACTTGCAACAGAAGGGGCTACATAATCCACATGGGAACATTATTCTAAATGTTAGAGGAAGAAGTTTCTACTTAGATGTTTGCTCTTTCTACATTGTCTTCAAACCATTAATTCTTTGTTCCGTTGTGATTGTTAGAAAATGAACTCTAAGGAGTTAAAGGTCATTAGTACCTAACTACTGTACCCTGTCTAGAACACATTTTTGTTTAAAATGAATTTGTTTTGCAACTCATGTTTAATTAGCTTTAGTTTTAGTTTACAGCTATTTTTTTTTTAAAAAAAGAGAGATACTAACAGATTATTCCAAGTAATAATTCACTGAGTAAATAGTAAGAAAATGGAAGTTTGCTACAGTCATGATTTAATTCACTAATTTATTATGCTCAAGAAAATAAAATGCTGTAGGTCCCTTTATGTTCACCTATTTGAAATTCTTAGAAAGAGCTATAGTTTGGGGTGTATTCTGAGAAGAAGAAATTGTGATTTTTATTTCTGTGAAAATGTTGTAAAGTAATTTGTTTAGCTAATTATATTAAATCAATGTCTAAAAGCCTATATTTGAAACAACGTTGGAAATTTTATTTAGAACAGTTAGAGATTTGTTGCCAACAAATATATGAACTGATGCAATTAATTTTAAGAGAACAATTTTTAATATATGCACTTATTCATATTTTTACAGTAGTTAAAGTAACTAGAACGTTGGTGTCATATCTAATTATATATATATACATTTATATATAGTATCTGTATTCTCTGTCTTAATTTTGCAATTCTAAATCCTCTTTTGGAGATCTTTCAGTGAATTCTAGGGTTTTTGTGCTTAGTAAACCCTATTAATGTATTTCCATTAATTTCTGTTTTCCCCCCTTTTCTTTCTTGTCCATGAAAAGAAACTATCGAGAACAGAGGTATGTGATGAGAATAATCTGAAAGTATGACTGAAAGGTTTAAGTTTTATAGCATTTTTTATGAAATTTGTTTTGTTTTTATGATGCAGTGCTTATAAATTAATCTTGATTTATAATTTTAAATACTGGGACTGTTTTATGTAATCAGTTTATCATAATCTAATTTTAATGATACTTTTATCAAATAATACTAATATTTGAAAGTTCTTATTTGTGTGATTTTTGTAGTAATACATATTAAAATTGATTTTCCTCCATATGAAACAAACTTTATGTTAAGACAGCATGTTTTTTAACATGGGTTCATTGTTTTTTTTATGTTTATAGCACTTTTATTGCTTACACTTTCCTAGAGAGTTTATTTTATTTATTATTTTTACATTAATAGTTTATAGTTGTAATTGATAAACTATATTTGGATGTAGTGTCACAGTCAGGAAAATGTCCTAGCATCTGATGAGCCTGTGTATAGCTGCATAAGAAAATATTTTTCTACTGATTGGGTAATTGTCCAGTTCGAGAAATAATTTATGTTGTTTTAATTTCTGGTAATTTAGTATATTTTTCTTGAATAAAAATTCCAGTAGAGAAAGTCAGGCACCTGTTATCACCTTAAAATTTATTTAACCAACTACATAAAAAGAGATAAAAAGCATTCATATAGTTCTGTAAGAATTGCATCTTTTCTTGCTAAGGTAGCCCATATATAGTTTTATATTTACTAAGGCTCTTTATTATCAATTAGCAATTAATACAAACCATTCTAATATATTGGGAATTGATAAAGTGGTTCCTGTCTTGTATGTCATATGATACATAATTATGCTCAAATATCTATGCAGATTCAAACTTAATTATTTTTTCTACTGTTCCATTAAAGTCAGGTTAGAAATAAGATATGATAAATTCATATGCTCAATAAAGGTTTCAGTATTTTATAAATTAAAATTTTAGATTTTACTCCTTTTTTTCTTTCATCTTGTAAATGTAAGTCCCTATAAGGCTTCAGTCCTAAATACAGAATCTCAGTGGTATCTTTAGCAAATCAGTTGAGATCCTGATCAGTTAGCTTATATATTAAAAAAATATTGACCATTCTTTGGAGTAATTAAGTCATAATTGATGGAAAAACTAAAAGTGAAGGGTCAGAGCAATAGTACTGCAGGTAAGCCACCTGGAATGCAGCTAACCTTGTTTAGTCCACAGAACACATACAGTCTGCTATCACTGCCAGGAGTAATTCCCAAACTCAGAGCCAGGAGTAAGTATTGAGTGCAGTATGGCTGCACCACTCCCCCAAATAAGAGTGTGACCAAGGCAAAATTAATTCAAAATTTAAAAATTACCTAGATTTCATGGCATATTTTATATGCTTGTGTCCTAGAACAGTAGAGAAGAGAAAGTTGGCATTAGAAAACGTCTGTTGATCATACAAAAATTCAGTCATTTTCTTCAGTAAATGTAAAGTTAGGCTAGGAAATCAACTCCATTTTCATACATTCTAAAGCTATGTTTAGTATTGCTGGCTATATAAAAAGGAAAGTAAAATGTTGCAAAGACATGCTCTAAGACATGAAGATATATGTAGTTCTATCTAGAAAAAGGGAATTTTCCACCCTACAAAAATTTATGTATAAAATTGCGTATCAATTTCTTATTCTAATGCAACATATGGAATAGATATAATTCAGGAAAATGTAACATTTAGGATCTTTATGTGCATGATATAATTTTATTCTTCCTCGTATTTCTGAGTCATTTCATTACCATGGCTTCTCTTTTGGAATCTAGTTCCTGTTCTTATAGTTGTCATGTCTTTGATAGATATTTATTTTATGTACTGTTATATATTTTAAAACAATATTTAGTTTTTCCCTTGTTGGATCTAATGAATCTTACATTTGTGCAATAATTTCAAAATGGAGAAGGAGTAAAGAATTGATGTTAGGTCATAACGTCATAAATGTATAAATTTATAATTTAGATATAAACCCTACCACTGTGCTATCACACACTGGGCTGGAGAGATAACACAGCAGGTAGGGTGTTGCCTTGCACACGGCCCATGTGGTCGACCCGAGTTCAATTCCTCTGCCCCTCTCTGAGAGCCCGGAAAGCTACTGAGAATATTTCGCCCACATGGAAAAGCCTGGCAAGCTACCCATGACATATTCAATATGCCAAACACAGAAACAACAAGTCTCACGATGAAAACATTACTGGGCCCGCTCAAGCAAATCGATGAACAATGGGAGGACAGTGCTTAGATATAAAAGTCATAAATTCTTATGAAGAATTTTGTTTTTTGAGAAAATATTGGTGATTACTGAGATGATGCCAAGGCCAAAAGATTAAATCATGCATTATTATATTTACAATCTTGTGTCAGGGGGAAAAGGTCAAAGAGCTCTTACACAAGCATTACATAGGGAAGCCTGGGTTAGATCCCCAAAGAACCCTGAGACTTACCTCTAGTAATGCCCCAAGGGTAACTAAGCCCTGAGAACTGCCAAGTACAGCCTTAAAAGAAAACAAATGAAAAAAGATATATACAATCTTGTAAATGTATATATAGTTAACTAAAATTGTACTCACTTCCAAAAGAAGCCACATACTTGAAATAAAAATGTGGAGTGGTTTCTTCAAATTACATTTTTCTTGGAGTTTTCATGCTTGGTGCACCAATTGACAAAGTTTAAAAAGATACTCAGTAAAATGTGGTTTTGGGAAATCACTTAAAATTTCTTCAACTATAAAACCAGATAATATTCTTTGTAATCTTTAAAACTTCTTAGTAAGGGAAATTTTTAGCATATGGTCTCTGAAGAGTTTGCATTTCTTTCATCTTTTAATGGTATAGATGGTATCATTGTTCTCATAGAGTGAGACAGAGTTTATCTAGATGAGTGTCATCCACATTGACTGGTCAAACTATATTGGTGAACATGAAGTTTTGCTTTTCATATTAATTGCAAGACTATACATAACATGCAGTCAGTTATAGAATTCTTAGTAAATATATAGCACTGTAGCACTGTCCTCCCATTGTTCATCGATTTGCTTGACCGGTCCCAGTAACGTCTCCATTTTTAGACTTGTTGTTACTGTGTTTGGCATATTGAATACGTTATGGGTAGCTTGCCAGGCTTTGCCATGCAGGCCAGATACTCTCGGTAGCTCTTCGACAGCGGCGGAGGAATCGAACCAGGGTTGGCCAGGCTGGCTGCACACAAGGCATACGCCCTACCACTGTGCTATCACTCCAGCCCTAAATATATAAAGGGTCAGAATTGCCAAACTGCAAAAATTTTAAATTATTGGGCTATCAGGCAGGTATATTTATGTGCGAAGCTAATAACCTTGCAAATTCCCTCCATAGTTTGTCTTCAGTGTTTACATATCAAAGAATGTGGAGTAGGTTTAATTAAAAGTTTCATAGAAAGTTGAAACCTTTATTTTCTTTTTATTTACATATTGATTAATAAAAATAGTAACCACATTCTAGATCTCAACGGAATTACCCCATACCTGAAAGATTTCACTTTAAATATGCAGTGTCATCTTGTGAAAGAACCTTGGAATGTAGGTTCTTAAGAAAATTTTTATACATCTTGTACTTAGAAGAATGGTTATAGACTGGTTATTGATCTTTGTCTTTAAAAGCATCAGGAAAGAAGAACTTTTCAGTTGCTTAGATGATGCTGTTGTTTATATTATAGTATAATTGGCTTAGAATTTGAAAATCGTATACTTGGCAAGTGGAAGTATTAGTTTGACTTTTATTTTTAGGCAGGTTTACCAAGAGCAGTAGAGAGAAAAAGGAAAAAGCATCCCTTGGGCTTGAAACATGTTCAACTGAAATAGTCTTTTCCATTGTCTGAAATAAATGCACATCATTATGGTTAATGTAAAATAGAGTACATGTCTTTCTGATTCATACCTTAAATAGAAACCATTTTCCATTTATTTTATCTTGTTTTTGCCACATTATTTTCTGCTTGTGAACCTCCTTCCTTTTCCTTCAAACCTTTTTGTAGTTTGTTTTTATACTACTACTGCTACTACTGCTTCTACTACTACTACCACTACTACTACTACTACTACTACTCTACTACTACTACTACTACTACTACTCTACTACTACTACTACTACTACTACTACTACTACTATTACTCTCATCAGAAAACTTTCTTCACTTAAATGCTTAATATGTCAAGGAAAAGTTATGAACTTATTATGAAGAAAGTTACGTATATTCATTATAGGATTTTCAGAATACAAAATAGGTTCTGTATTTTGAAGATAGTAGAGACAGATAATAATCTCATTTGACAGGATGTTAAAAACTCATCTGTCTCATTGAATTCTAACTCCCTTCCAACCTTCTTACTGAAATAGATAGTTTATGACATGATTAGTGCCTAGGATGGTTGTGAATTGTGCAAGCAATTATCATAAATTGCAAAGAAACTTTATTGAGGGAGTGGTAAAATGATCTCAGTTGAATAAAACCTAAATGGGACTTATCCAGTGATACAGGCAGTACATGAAGCCTGCAGTTTCAAGTCAGGGAGTCCTTTGGTAAATACCTGAATGCCATAACCACAGAAAGAGAAAACAATCTGAGGGGTAGGATAATAGGAAAGGTCAGTGTTACAGCTTGTTTCTGTTTAAGTTGAATTTAGTGAGGCACATTTCATCTGCTTACAAATATTTCCTGAGGGCCAGCTGATGTGATAGTACAGCAGGAAAAGCTCTTGCCTTGTATTAGGCTGACCTGAGTTCGATCCCAGAACCCCAGATGGAAGAGAATATTTAATTGCAAAATTAATATATATACTATACACATTGAAAAGTTCTTTTTAGGTTTGTAGAAATGTGTGAATAAATAGCACTGTAGCACTGTCCTCCCGTTGTTCATCTATTCGCTCGAGTGGGCACCAGTAACATCTCTATTGTGAGACTTGTTGTTACTGTTTTTGGCATATTGAATACACCATGGGGAGCTTGCCAAGCTCTGCCATGCAGGCGAGATACTCTCAGTAGCTTGCCGAGACCGCCAAGAGGGGTAGAGAAATCAAACTCGGTCAGCCATGTGCAAGGCAAACGATCTACCTGCTGTGCTATCACTCAGTGTGAATATATAAAATTACTAATAGGAAAGGGTGTTTTATCATTCAGACTACAGATGATTAAGCATTTGGAACTTTTAAAACAATATGAGAATGGTTTTGATAAAGCATGGATCTGGATGGATGTGCCTCTTTGGGGACAGAATTGAACATCAGACGTAATTAGGGTTAGTATGGTAATAAAGAAACAAATAGAAATTAGCAGATCTGTGCCTTTGTTGGAGACCTAGTTAAGTACAGCTTTGTTTAAAATTCTTAGTCTAACACTCATTTATGACACACCAACAATAATATAGAATGGAACTGAATCAAGTTTTGGACAAGGTTTTCTGGGTGCCAAACTTTGGCAAATAATCAGATCAACAATTGAGGGACAAGATTTGACTGCTCAGGCCTCTCTAAAATGTTCAGTTCTGTTCCCTTAGTCAAGAACCAAATGTCTTCTCCAATCTTATTTAATTAAAATTCAACATGATTGGGGTTAGGAACTGCAGATTAAATAAGTTTCTTTTGTAGTTTCTGCAGTGGAGGTAGAGAACCAAGAACACCCATCAATTGCCTGTAAACATTTTTTTTTCTGTATTCTCTGTAAGAAATCTATGTTTTCAAGCCTTTCTTTCTTCTGCTAAATTATTTTCCTTTATATTCTACTGTACAATTCTAGAATTTTATGCTTGATTTAGCTTTGGATTCCTTTCAGTTTCTATTTCCATTAAATGAATAGTGAAGGTCCAAATTAAACAAAGAACTCTAATAAGCATTTATTTGTATTAATTATAGAACATAGTTTATAATTTTTGAGACTAAATTAAGGTTCCACTGTATGTTTAGACATTGTGCGTAATTTGCTCCCACAGTGAAAGGAATCTATTTCTCCTTTGGGCAAGATTATCTGCCCCAGCATATCTCTCCTTGGCATCAATCAATTTTTTTCTACTTAAAAAGATGTGACCCAAAAAGCCAAAAGATAAAATAAAATAAAAAGAGAATTTATTGACAAGTAAATCGTGGTGCTTTAATAAAATAATAAAAAGATAATAGTGCAAAAGCAAGAATGTTCCAAGTCTTTTATCTTTTATATTAGGAAAAGAAATGCAAAACTTTATTTATGGAAGGCATGATCTGATATGTAGCCAATACAAAATAATTCACTAAAAACTTTTAGCATCAGTTTTTTAAAAGACAATAAGTGCAGATAGCATCTCTCAATATAATTAAGTTACAGTGGAAACGCTTATCTTTCCTTATTTTCACCGAAAGCTAGACTTTATCGTAAAGACTTTAGTGATTTTGTACCTACCATCTATGAAATTAGATGAACTGATTTGTCACATTTATTAATAATTTTTTGTGTTGTTACAAATTTAATTCATGTAGACCATTACCCCTATCTCTTTATTCCTAAAATAATATTTGTATATGTCTGTGTTCATGTGTGTGTCTTGTTTTCTGACTCTGAAATGTTTATTATGCCTTAGACAGTTACCCCAGGGAGATTATGTAAAAAAGCCTGGAGATGGCGACTCTTTTTATAGCGACATTCCTCCTGGAGTCAGCACAAACTCAGCATCTAGTTCTAAGAAGAGGTCTGCTTTTCTGTCGCATTTTCAGATTTCTACCTGTTCCATCACACATTATTCCATTAGTCAGAACATTTCATTATTTTGCAGCAGGTTTGATTACTTCTTCCTTCTTTCTTGAATGTTAAAAAATAGTATCCTTTATTCTTTGATTACTCTTTTTCAAAATGCCATATGCTCAGAACCAGTTGTTAGTAAGCCAATTAGATCAGAAATGAAAACAAAAAATGAATTAAACAAATAACAGCACTAATTCTGTGTAGAAACCCCAGAGTGTTTTTTTCTTCTTCTTGCTCTTACATGGCTTAAGAAAGTATGTTTAGTATTCTATATTTTAAATGGTGAGCTTTATGTCATGTCTGGTAGTCAAAGAAAAAGGTTACTTTCATGCTTCAATAAAAGCAGTTGTAAAATAAGTTAGTAATATAAGTGCTGCATTGGATATTTTTAATTTTAAATAGCTAAGCTTGCTATAGAAAAAAGATTGCTTCTCTGTGAATAATATATTTGAATATCATGATTTTGCCTTTTATCCTGAAATAATTATTTCTAGAATTTATAACTTAGAGCTTGGCTGCCAAATTAAATATAGTTAATGTTTGCCTGACTTCTGCAATAATACTAGTGGAGTTAATATATTACTTATATGTCTTAACTTCAATGCTCTGTTCTGGCTTCAGGATCTTAAGGGATCTTAGGTGCAAAGGATCACTTAAAATTCTGCATGTTTTATTGCTTATAAATAAAAGAACAAATCGTTGAGCATATAAGGAAATGGGAACTACATCCACAATGAAGGAAGCTAAAATAATTCAGTGAAAGTGTTGTGCTTTTCTTTAATCATCAGTAGGGTGTATGATGTCTAAAATAATTGATAGCCCCATTCATTTCGTTGAGCACAGAAGTTACTTTGTATACTGAAGGGGAAATTTATAGTTAATTGAGAAGAAACATAATTTCTTTTAGTGTTCCAAATAAAGCAAATAGGAGTTATGCAGTGGATATTATTCTTTATACATACCTATCAGGAAAGAAAATAGAATAAGATCTGAGAACTTAGTGCTACATGCATTTTTCTTAAACATGAAGGCTAGTTCTAACTCAGAGAACAAAGCTTTTAAAGAAAGTAAAAAAATACTCATTTGGGGGCAATGATAGTACAGCATGTATGGTTTTTGCCTTGTACACGGCTGACCCAAGTTCGATACCCTGCTCCCATATGGTCCTCCAGCACTGCAGGAATGATTCCTGAATGCAGAACCAGGAATAAATCCTGAGTATCGCCTGGTGTGGCCCAAAAGCCAATATATGTATATATTCATTTTTGTACAAGGAATGCAATTCTATAGAAGAATGTTAATTTTTTATTCTTGTATTGGGGCTTTTGGGCTAAGAGAATTAGTTCCACTTAATTCTCTCAGTATAAAAATAAGTGGTCAAATATTTAATTTTAAATTACATAGTAACTAAGTGGAGAAATTATGGACACCAGTAGAATTGTTCTACTTTTGTACAAAGTAAGAGTCATTCTGTAGCCAGAAAATAATGTCTAAAGCTCCTAATGTAAGGCATTAATAGTTAATAATTGTGCCAAGTTCTGTTCCTTATTACTCATTAGTAGAAGTCTGTTTAAAAAAGTAGATACTGTTAGCACTTAGCTGAAATTATACATGGAAAGGTTTGTAATGTTCTTTCCTAAAATATTTCAAGAAAAAAAACTGAAAATATTATTTTGAAAAATTCCCATATTATAGCAAACTCCAATAGATTATGGCTTTCACGTGATTAAAAATCATCAAATTTTGTGATCCATCCTAAGTATAAATTATTTGTCACCATATACTTTTCTTATGGTTCAAGGTAGGTGTGTAAATTTTGCTTTTTGTAAACAATTTATTTAAAAATGTTAGGACACAGAAACAGGGCTTAATGGTACATGGGCTTTATGAGAGAACTTCTATGATAAAGATCTGGTTCAGTGCAGTTATCAGACAATCTACTAATGATATTATAACTTTTGAGAACATATTTGTGGATAAAATAACTGTTCTCAGATAATAATTCTGTTGTTCAAAAAAAAAACCTAAGTATTACTTTGACAAAGGTTATCTAGGTTCAATTGATCAGTGAAATCTCTTGGAAGTCCATGTTCTCATATTCCTTGAATGGAAATCATTGCTTTACAATTAAGAAACATCTATGGTGGGATCCCATTACATCTTCATAACTGAAACTTGATTGAATTTTCTGTATGGTGGCTTCATCCTAGAGAATATAAATTGGCTTGCATTATAATCTGATACTTAAATGCTTTCAATTTTCAACTATTCCTGTAATGGGGTTCCATTGTATTTGACTTTTCTTAAATTGAATGTTGTGTAATTCTGCCTTCTTCATGAAGATTCTCATGTTCTCTTCATTCTTTCATTTCAGATTTTTCCTTTCTTGATTATTTTTCTTTAATGCATAGTAATACTTAGAAACTGTGCTTACTGGTTTTACAACAGTCATTTGATTATGTCTATGAACAGTATATAAATATTTTCAATTTCAGGTCAAATGGACTTTCACATTCTTGGAGTGAAAGGATTCCAGACACAAAACATATTTCAGACATCTGTGAAAATGGGCGACCTCGAAGTAACTCTTGGCAAGGTATTGGCTCTTAGTCCTTTGACATTGAGCCCATCTCTCCACTTAAACCAGTTCTGTATTCTGTGGTCTTCTTTTCAAAACATTTTTAAGAAAAATTTGGACCACACCTGGTGGTGCCCAGGGGTTACTCTGCACTGAGGATCACTCCTAGCAGTGCTCGTTGGACCATAAGCCAGGGATGGAACCTGAGTCACCTGCATGCACGGTAACAAATGCCCTACCAGCTGCACTACCTCTCTGGCCCACTGTGGCCTCTTTTTTGTAAAAACTTGTTCTTTGAAGTAATCTTTAAGCCTTTTGTTCCCCAGCAAAGAGGGAGTATTTATTATGAAAGTGCAGTTCTTTTTTTTTTTTCTGTAATAGAAAAATAGTAAGATTCTACATAGCTCACCAGATGTGTGAAGAAGGTTGGACACTGCTATAAAGCCCAGTGTTTTGGGGGTGATACGGGTATTTCACCCCTCTTAACAATCTGTGTAAATAAACATATCACAGTTGTTTATTTCTATATAAATATACCTGTAACCATGTTTTTCAGGTAACCTGGGAGGCAACAAAAAGAAAATCAGAGGGAAACGATTTAGACCTCGGTCTAATTCAACTGAGTAAGTCAGAACCTCTAATGGAAAAAAAGGCATTCCAAGGTCCTGTGCAGTCAGTGTGAGAAATTAATTAACCGGATCATCAAAAAACTGTAAACCATACCTCTGGTTTTGGTTTTATCTTTGTAAATCTTTTTTTTGCCATTTAAAAATTAATCATGGCTTTTCTCTTTTACATAGGCATCTCCGCAACTGTGCCCATACCAATATGCACTGATAGTGGGGGGCTCCCCCTCGCTGCAGGCTTTTTCCTCCAGAAACCTGCCATTGTGGTGTCTTGGTTCCGTTTGAAGGGAATTCTGATAACATTCCTTTCTTGTCATCACCAGGGGCCCATTTCAGAGGGTTCACCCTTCCACTCCCAATGTTCACTCGCCCTAGAAGCATCAGGGAACAGTTCTACAAGAGCATGAGGCTGCTCACGATGTGAGACCACTGCTCTGAGGTCTTCATGGCTGCAATCTAAGCATTCTCTCAGACTAATGCAATAGTTTCCCTTTTAAATTTTCCTTCGGAGGATATTTAAAAGGGCATTTATATGAAGTTGCTCTTTAACGGAATCATTGTCACTAAATGTAACACGATCCATTGAAAATGATAGCCACACATTTCATTTTTTTTCTCTAATGGGAGATGGGATCAGAAATTACATTTCAGATTATTTATAGTCATTGAGGCAACTTTCTGTGCACTTTGTTTCTTAAGTAAGTACAAACAAAACCAAGCTTCCTCGAACCTTTTAAAATATACTCCTTTGGTATCCTTCTGGACCTTGCTACCTGGTTTTAATTACCCAGACTTTTTTGAGGCCCACCAATATTAATTTTTTTTATTTTATTTTACTTACTTCTCAGTGTAGTTGTAGTTATTATCTCCATTATTTCTCCATACTTTAATACTTGAACAAAGATCAGGTTAACTGCTTGTCAGAAATTTACATTAAATTTTCTATCTATTCAGACATTTTCAGTCTAGGACAGTATCACTGCCCTGAAATTCATACCCTTCCTGCTGATGGTATTGTTTTGTAAGGGTCTTGTTAAAGTTTCCTAGAGGATACTTTACATTAGAAATAATAGATAGGTTCAAGTGACATCATTGCATGGTCCAGAATGGCATCATAGAAGTCCATCCTAAATAACTAATCCTCTAGAGTTTATCTTCTACGTTTCTAAAACGCTTGGATGCTTTAGAGCTCATGCTGGATAAACTCTTTTTGGAATGTTATTTTGATTTGTTTTGCATGAGGTCACCTGGTAAGAACGCCTTAGATTATCTTAGTTGCTCATACGAATAAAGATACAAGTACAAGATATTCTTTAGGACTTCCTTTATATACCTTAAGCATTCAAACTGTATTTCCTTTAACAAGGCTTTGAAAACTCCTACGAAAAAGGGGAAAGAAAAGCCAGTAGTATACAAAAGCTGTGAGTTTAGTACCCAAAGAATGCTTGATAGTAAGATTCATAATATATTTTCTAAAGCAATCACTTATATAATTTTTTCTATAAAATTCCCACTGACATAATGTGCTTAAATAGTACAATACTATATCTCTATGAATATTGTTATCTATCTATGATTCTTGCCTGTGACATAAGTAAATTATAATATTGAATAAGACATCATAATACCCTCATCTTTATGAAGAAGTATTATGGATTTCCTTGGATTTTTCAGTTTTCAGATTTGGGTTACATTATTTATGTTTACTAAAATGGACCCAAGTTGATAAAGCTGACCATTATTCTTACTTTATTATATATATATTTTTTTTTCTTTTTTCCTTCTGGGGGTTTCTCTTCCAGCAGTGCCTGGGGGATCATGTTGTACTGGGGATTGAATCTAGGGCTTTGACATGCAAAGAAATCATTCCAGCCCCTTTAGTCCTCTCTTAGACCCTTATATAATTTTTTTCCTTAAAAGGAATTCTGATGCCTAGTCAATTGGGAATTATGTTGATAGCTTTTTAATACTTTCCATATTTGTTTAAAAATTCCATTTGCTTCTGTTATAATTTGTGTGACTCTTAAGAGAAGCAGTATGATCATGAACAAACATACCTGTTTTATTTTTTAGAAAAGGAGTTATGATCAGATCCATTATTTCAACATTCCCTTTAGTACTTTGTCATCCTACAAAGATTATTTAACTTTCACACATGAATTAAAAAATGCATCTTACAGGCTTACTCTGCTAACAAACCTCAAGAAATACTCTGCTAACAAACCAGGGAATGTCCGTGTTTGTTGTATTGTTTTTGCCACTCAAACCTTTTGCATCTTCCTCACTGTTATACATGATGTTAAAAAGAAAAACAAAAACATTTTTGGCTCAGACTTTGTATTATATATTGTGTTTTTACAGGAGGGAGCCCCAAGCACCTGAGCCTGGGCACTCCCTCGCCCAGACAGTCCCATCCCAAGGCATAAGCCCAGGGGGCTCTGACAGCCCCCAGACAGGGAGTCTGGATCACAGGTCAGTCTGCCCCTTCATTCTGGGCTGCCACTTAATCTCTCTCCAAGTCCCTTCCTTGGCTGAGATCAGGGTTGTTTGATCTCTGACTGACCCCCAGTGTCTGTATGAAAGTGGTCCTGGTCCAGCCAGCACCAGCTCATTTTCCTTTGCCTTTCCATCCCGGAGAACATAAAGACCTCTCCAAGTCTGTGTAATGCTTTTTTTTTTTTTTTTTTGCATGTTGCGCTACAAGTCAAGTCAGATCGCATAGGCAGGCTCATAGCTGTGTAATAAGATCCTGTGAGTGTAGCTACCAAGATTTGAGGTGTTAGGAAACACAGTGAGAAGACACTGAGTGTCACAGACATTCCCAGAAGAAACTAGTGGGAGATCAAGAGATCTCTAATGAAGTGATTCTGGCCTTCTGAAATGCTCCCTGAGATTCAGGAAAAGACCCATCACATGCCTGTTAAGCCATGTGTGTGGCTGTTGCTTTTGTAAGACAGCCTGAACACCAGTCCTTTGAGCTTCTAAGATTGTCAGTGAAAGGAACACATCTATTCCCAGAAGTGGCCAACTGCCTGTGGGTGACAGTTTGCTGTGTGGTGATGTTTCACCTGAAAATCTGACAATGGGCATTTTCTAAGGGTTTCCCAAGCCAGAGAATTCACTAGCCTTCATCTGTGGCTGCATTTGCTTTTTCCATTTTTGTTCAATGTCTCAATGTAAATATTACTGCAAGTTTCAATTGGCTATATCTGTGAAAAGCACAAGTTGGCAATGATTGTGGCTAAAGGCAAAAAGTTGTGTAAATTGTGCCTCAGTCGGGGATTGTTATCTTGGCAAAAATGGTCTCATAAAAATAAATAGAAAAATCTTCTCTCAGGAGTGAACCACAGAATATGATTTTGTACATTGGTTATAGCTAAAAGCAAAGGGGTAAAATTATTGAAGAATTTGTTTATCTAACCATGGAAATGTAGCCTTGATCGAAATATATTTACAGATGAAAACAAAATATGGAGAAAAGAATCCAAAACAAATAGTGTGTTTTACAGTTATCCCCAGTTTATTTTTAAAGTTATTTGACTTTGAACACCCTTTACAGCATGGATATTTGTTGTTTATATTATCTGTCGAATTTCTTTTTTTTTTAGTGGGGAAAGCCTGTAAGATTTCAAAATTCTTTCAAGTGTGAATTTGTTGATTTCTAAATGGGTGATTTCTAAAATGTGTTTTGCCCAGCTTAGGATAATAATCAAAGGAAACCCTGAAAAAAATCCAAAAATCCTGACACTCCCATTTTACTTTTTTTGCTTGTTCTTTTTTTTTTTTTTTTTTTTACATTGTCCTTAGAACAGCAATTCTGATGGAGGCTTTGCCAGATCCATCAGGGAAATGCTGACTGAAATTATTCAGGCCTCTAGTAGCCTCAAAATTCATGATCCGATAGTCAGAAGACAGTATCTGATGGCCCTTTCCTATTGGAAACAGGGACATTTCAGTCAAGAGTTCACCATGGGGAGAAAGGAACATAGCTTCTGCAACTGAATTACCAATCCCGGCTCTAAGATCCCAGAGGCCGATTTGGACCTCATTAGTATATGCCTTGGGACTCAAGGATCAGAAGAATGAAAGCTTTTCTGTTTCTTATAGAGTTGCTGGGCTGTCTTTCTTATTAACTCCGGTTTGAAATCTGCTTTGGAGAGTAAGACGAAGGCCATGTAAAGCTCTTCCTTTTATACTGGAAAGAGAACTTTGCTCCTTCTCATTGTTCTTGGGGTGTTATGCGCCCAAATGTTTGGGTGAAGTTGCAAGCATCTGAATGTTCTTAAAAAGCACCATTATTGTTTGAAAACCAAGGAGCCAAATGAGAGGTGGCATGAAAAAAAAGCCACTTTGGATGTCGGTGAATGGAAGTCTGTAGTACTCTGATGGAGAGACAGCTTTTGATTCATTTGGTGACCAATTGAAAGGCTGTTCATGCAGTGTTGAAAACATTTTAGAATGTCTTCAGCCCTTTTGTCGAGCGTGTCTTCTCCTGTTATACAGACTGCCCCATAATCACCAACTATCCATTTTGGTTTATTTGCTCTAGTCACTTACATTTGGAGGGTGAAGACATCCTTGCTGAGCTTGTGCTGTGTATTTTCAGATTTTCTATCTTGTTCTGCTTTCTTTGTTCCTTCCATTGCTTTCTGCAGGTATTTAAACCCATGGTTCAAAAGAGACTATAATGTAGCTAAGTGGGTAGAAGATGTGAATAAAAACACTGAAGGACCATACTTTAGGTATTTTATAAATTAATTTTATATCCTTTTCAAACTCTCCCAGCACATACAAATAATGTAGTGTGACTGGCTCTCTATCTTGTATCTCCCAATACAAGTTCCTGTAGGTGGAAAGGGTCCTTGCTTATTTGCTTCCTTTTAATCTGTTTTTGGCTTCCTGAGCAAGTCTAGTTCTTTCCTGAATGTTTCAAATGAAGCCATTTGAAAGGGTTACTGTTTAGTGCATGCCCCTAACACCATCTTGAGCTTTTTAGTAGCTTTCTCTTCATTTTATGCTATGTAGTTTTCTATGGGCATGAAACATACTTTTCACTAATATGGACGCACTATTAACCTAAAGGATTTAATTTCCAGAATTTAGAAATTTCATAATGCATTTCCTATTTACTATCTTAAGAGTGCATAGTGCATACAAAAACTCAGAGAAAAACATGGAAAAACTGAAATGAAATATAGTGAAATTTTACTTAAAAGGATAATGACAATTTGATGTAACTTGAAAATTATTCAGGTAAATTTTACAATGTGAGAGTGTGTGGTATGAGCTTAGGTTTTATTTGTGTATTGTAGAACCATTCCATGCCAGAGAGAACTGGCTGAGAAGAGTGTTTTACAGATTCTCACTGGAGTACCTGGAAAAAAATCTTATGCTGATAAGCATGTCATTGTCTAATACTTAAACTGAACAGGAAGAATATTATAAATGTGTTCTGGATTCACAAGAAACCAAAGTATCATTTCAAAAACTGTTACTTCTGTCACCACAGCTTAATATAAATTTCAAGATCAGAGAGAAATTCCAAAAGCTCTTAATGGCAATTTTTGGTTGTTTTTTTACTCTTTTAATATTCAAGTGATTTCTCAGAAATAAATGTCCACTTTACTATTACTCTGTGGAAAATGAGTGTAAAGAAAAATGTAGACATAATTACAGTCTTTTCTGAGCATAACTTAATGATACGCTTTAAGATTGCTTATTGCCATCACTTGGATCAGCATTTACAGATTTTAAAAATATAGCTGTCTCTAATTCTCAGCACCCGTATAAGGTGGACTTTCTCTTCCAGTGTACCATTTAGTTTAGATGGATATAGTTTGAGAAAATGATTAGACATACCTGCATTTTAGTTTGATCCATACATTTGCATATACCCAAGGGAAGCATAAATCCTGCCTGTTCACGAATTGTATCCTGCATTTTTACCCCATCTATCCCTTCTGCCCTCTCCCTCTGCTTTTCCCACTTACCCACACTGAACCTCATGCACATACACTCACATTCAAACATCCCACCCTCACCTGTAGCTCCCAAGATGGCCAACGTCAGGAAGACAGGTAAGATATTTTGAATGCTATTTGGAACTTTGGCTAGCCTGCAGTTCTATTTCTCCTTTCTATTTTTCTCAGGCTTGTGGGCAGATTATAATTTATATCACCCATGGAACCAAAAACAGAATGGCTTTGAATTCCATATGGGTTAGGGCTTTTATTTCTAAATGAACTCAGCACTTTGGCCAGCAGTAATTTGTGAAATGGTACCCCGGAAGAGTTGATTCACCTCCCCTGGGTGAACTGAGTAGTTTAATGTGGCTCTCAGGGAAGAGTTCGCATATCTTACAATCAGCGCCCAGGTCTGCCCAGAAGCTGCATGACTAAATGCAATTTGAATGGGGAAGTGCTTCAGCAGCCCCAGTTGCACGTGCAAAGCTGTGAGGGCAATTTTAGAGGGCTCCTTTATCTCCTTAATATGAGATGTTGATTCTCACCATGGTTAGTCACCTTAAGAATCAATTGTTTAATATCCATATATAAAAGTTACATATAATCCGTTGGTTATAATTTGACGGTCATGTTTGAATTAATAAGGGTTTTGATGGTAAGACTTGAAAATCAGCACAGATTTTTTGTTGTGAGAGTGAGTAATTGA